ATGTGTAATTTTATTAAATGTGTGAAACTATCAGCTTTATACTGATAAGTGCTGAGTGCTGGGTGCTGAGGGAACACAGAATAGAGTTCAATGAAAAACACATTTTATTTGTGAGTGTGGTGAAACTCAAAAAGCAGAGAGTGCACCTTGGGTGTGGCCGGGATTCTTTTTAGTGGCACACAGTTCACATCTGGCTCTCTGGGGGATGAATTCTGGCCAGAGTCCTCCCTGGCTCTGCTGTCTGATGTCTGGACATGACTGTGCAGTCCTGTCAGGGCCAGGAGCCCAGATTCAGAGATCATAGACTTTTTCTGTAGGTTGGGACTCTCAAGTCTGACAGGCTATAAAGAGTGATACCAAAGGAAAATAATATATAATAATTATTAATAATAAATAATAGTTATTTAAGTTCATAACCTGAATAATTTTGTGACTGAGCATGATTTGTCTGAAGATATCCGGATGTCTGTAATTATTAGTATGCTTGTAAGTGTCTGTTTTAAGGCCTACTGTATGTTATATTGTTATACTTAGGACATTGAGTATTGAATAGGTAGATACACGTCATGTTTTGTGGACTTCATATTCTGACTTCTTTGCACATATTACAATATGTTGTTCACAGGGGCCATCTAGTGGTTGTGACTGTTTTCTCACTTTCACGAGGAGCAGCAGCTGGAGAGTATGTGACAGTGGAATTGTTTAGTGAGTCTGTGAAAACTTTGGCTTAAGCCACTTGGCTATGAGGGCTGACCTCCTGGCCAGAGGACGAGGAGGCTAGGAGCCCCCTGCAGAGTGAGGAGTGACCAAGGGGCAGCTGCAGGGGGGGAGTTGGGGTTCAGGTGGGATGCAGAAACATGACATGTGGTATATATGGGAAACTGAGGCAATTACGTCAGGATTAGTTGTGGGCGTAATTAGTTTGACTGCCTTCATCCCTCCTAAACTTTCGTTAGAACTCCAGTAAAAACAACGCAAGTTTTATGACAACAATAGGTTACCAGAAATTTGCAAATACAGTATAAAACCTAAGCAGAACTTTCAAATGCTGGATGAGTTTCTCACCTTTGCAAATCAGCTGTGTAGTGGGCATGGCTGAAGCACGTCACTGCTGAAATGGTCACATATTCACAGCAAATATGAAAATGTCCCAGGCGGCACGTTTTCAGCCGCCAGCACAGAAGCTGCTATTCATCGCTTTGCCAACCGCTTTAAAAGTGTGCATTTCTGTTTCACAGACAGAACCTAAACCCCTGTTTCTTCCTTTTCTGGTCGAATAGCCCGGTCTCGTCTTCACCATTCTGCAAGGACTCTGCGCGATCTCTGGTTGCTTTCTTCAACGGCGGGGCTCTGCCATGCGGCTGTGACGAGGCCGGCGCCACCGGCCCTGCCTGCGCGGCCGACGGCGGTCAGTGCACATGCAGGCTGAACGTCATCGGGCGCCGGTGCAGCCGCTGTGCCACGGGCTATTATGGGTTTCCCTACTGCAGACGTGAGTACCTCCGGAACCTGCACCTGAGGGGTCGTCTCGATACCTGTCGCGGAATACTTCTGAAGCTCCACCTTCAATGTCTTTATTGCTGTTTGGATTAGCAGTAGTGACAGCATGCTAACAGATGTGTCCTCAGCACCAGAAAAAACTTAACAGCGGGGAGGATGATCGTTATATCGTTTGCAGTCGCCTCACGAGGAAAGATTAGCTTGGTTCGTGAATGGATTGCTCTTAAAATCTTAAGTTTGCAACAGCGCTTGCTCCACTGTAGCCACAGCCTGAAAACTGCATGGCCGAAATGCCTATAATTTCTAGGCTGGAAGTTCTGTATTTTATGGGCCTGTACGAACATACCATCTGCGTGAAACGTGCTCTGCCTACAACAGCTTGCGACTGCGGCCGGCGCCTGTGCGACGAGGTGACGGGCCAGTGCATCTGCCCGCCCCAGACCGTCAAGCCCTCCTGCGACGTGTGTCAGGAGCAGACCTTCGCCTTCCACCCGCTGGTGGGCTGTGAGGAGTGCAACTGCTCCCGCCGCGGGGTCGTCAGCAGCGCCATCACCGACTGCGACCGGGCCGACGGGCAGTGCAGGTCAGCGCCTCTGCCGCTTGCTCTCCCTGTCCAGCCCTACGGCAGTCTGAGTCTTGGTCTGCTCTTGGGATAATGTCTACAGTGTTCATGGGGAACATGGAAAGAGCTCCATGTGCAAAACTCAAGGACTGAGTATAATAATTCTCCTGAACAACTTCCGGGTCACTGTTTGTGCCATAGCACAGCGTTTAAGGACTTTTTCCTAATAGCATTGTGCATTTTTAAGTCCAGGATATAATGTTTTATTAATTGTGGTCTTGCCGGGCATAGATGTAGACCGAGGATCGCTGGGCGGAAGTGTGACGTCTGTGCTGCCGGGTACTACCGCTTCCCGGAGTGCGTGCCCTGCGACTGCAACCTGGGAGGGGCGCGGCCCGAAGTGTGTGACCCCCAGACCGGCCGGTGCCTCTGCAAGGTGACCCCCCCTTCCGCTCAGACACTCGGTCCAGAACCCCGGAGAATGAGCCACCATTTCCTTACAGCCCCTCTACTTTACTGGCCGAAGAGCAACAGATCATTCCCAGAGTTTGGATTCTTTTATCTAAGCAGTTTTGTCACCTTCACTAGATTGGTGCCGTTCCCTTTAGAAGGTGTAAATATTTTGGAAAAATCTGCTAAAGAATTTCCTCTTTCATGACACCGGTCATGCGTATTACTTTATTTGCTGAAGTATTAATAATTTTCTTAAAATGTTAAATGTCTCACAGGTTAATTTGGGTTATCTTTGTTTTCTTCGTCTCTAGAAAAATGTTGTGGGCGCAAAGTGCGATGCCTGTCGCCCAGGATCCTTCTACTTCGACCCAGCTAACCCCAACGGGTGTACAAGCTGTTTCTGCTTCGGAGCGACCAGTCAGTGTCGGAAGTCTGGGAAACGTCGCAGTAAGGTGAGATTAGTGTGACTTTTACTGGCCGGAGTCTCTTCAGTGGTGGGATTTGTGAATGTCACGTACGGTGTGCATTGTATGCAGTGTCATGACAATATTGTCCGCTGCTGTACAGTCCTGTAAATTCCATGCAGCTAGTTGTAATGGTAATAAAGTATTAAAAGAGCTCTGTGGCAAACTGTTGTGAATTACCCTACAGCCAGATTTAATATTGATTGATTGTGAAGAAAAACTTGCGTGTCAGCCTGTCCATTTTCTTTTCCATTTTCCATAAAGCCTGTTGTCTGATCTCAGTCGTGTGTTTCTAGTTTGTAAGCATGCGGATGTGGCGCTTGGAGAAGCTGGATCAGGAGGAGGTTCCTGCTGTGTTCAACCCTGCCAGTAACACAGTGGTGGCCGACATCCAGGAGCTCCCAGCCTCTGTCCATGACCTCTACTGGGTGGCACCCCCATCATACCTGGGGGACAGGGTGAGTGCGGAGCTACTGCCCCTCCAGTGCTGGGTGGGCAGAGAGGACGTGAAGACCATTGCAAGTATTTCCCTGAGATATCTCATTTCTCTTGCTCAAGAGCTTCTCCCAGAATTCCAGTGTTGGTTAAGACCTGCAGGAGGTATGACCGACATCATCATGACGTGTGTGCAGTAATCCTACTATTGGAACCATTTAGAGCTCATTAAAGCTCAAATAGGAGTCAGATAATGGGGACAGTGCGGTGCGGTGGCACTGTGGCTAAGGATTTGTGCCTGTGGCCGGTTCGAATCCCTGAATGGCTGACCCTGCGCTCTGACCCCTAGCTTCTGTCCCTGTCTGTGCGTCTCATGGAAAGCAAGCTGGGGTATGCGAAAACGCAAATTCCTAATCCAATAAATTGTATATGGCCAATAACGTGATCTTATCTTATAAAGGTTTGGCATCTCCGCAGTTCTATTTCCAGCATTTCTGAGTGCCAAGTTCCATTAGATAACAGATCACATTCTGCCAGTTCCCTGCCAGAGTGTAGTCTGACTTACCCAGTGAACAGTAAATTATGATAAGTGGCTCTGCTTCATAAAAAAACTACACTGACTTCACTTATCGAACTCCATTATATGGATGAGGCTGCAATATGTGTCTTGACAGAAATGGATCATCATGTAATCGTCAACGCACTTCATAGTCAGTAGACCGCAGCATTCCGTCTGTGTGCTCCAGAAGCGTACGAATTGGTGCCTTTGATTTGGATTTTCTGGGTTTTTGAGGAATGTAGAGTATTTCCCAAACCTCGGTAGTTGTGTTTGCCAGAAAGCTGATGTGGAAGAACTGAAACCAAACTAATGATCTGAGCTATAATCATAATTTCTAACTTATGGAAAGATGGCGAACATACAGGAGACGTTAACAACAACCGCAGTTGTATCATCAACACTATTTCTGGATGTTTTCGTGTATCAGGTCGAAGGTCCGAGGCGCCAAGTGTGAGTGCTCATCACAAAGGCTAGCATTCCGCTCTGCGGGATTGCTCGTGCTGTCCAGATGTCAAAGTATGTTAACAACATCTGGATGGGAATTTTTGGGAAGCAGTCCAAGACTTTGAGATCCAGAGGTGTCAGAACGAATAAAGCAAATGGAGACTATCAAAGAGGAAAACAGAAAAAAGGATATTTGGTGGCTCATCTGTCACCGAAGGTCTGTTGGTTCACTCTGTCTCTCAGGTTCACGGAGATAATTTCGCGGCTCGTTTGGCCCTGCTCGCGCTGTAGCCATGAGTCTTCTCACGGTGTAGTTGTGGCTCTCCGCAGAGCCCTGGTGTGAGGCTTCCCTGCCTCCCCCTGGCTGCCTCACACAGCTCCTGCGAAGACACAAGCCGTTGAATACGGAGGACCCGAGCCGTCAGGAATCAGGAGGGTCTTCTCAGGCAGTGTGACAAGCTGACTGCCCGTCACAGTGATTTATCCTACTGCTCCACTAAATATTACTGGTGCTGTTTGCAATTTATGATTCTATTATTGAAATTCTGCTGTCGTTTTTTTGGTTTGCTATTTTGCTGTAGGTGTCCTCATATGGAGGCTACCTTACTTACCAGGTTAAATCGTTCGGGATTCCCAGTGAAGGAATGAAGCTGTTGGAAAGGAGGGCTGACGTGCAGCTTACTGTGAGTCTTCTTCTCTTTACTATCTGTGAAAACAAAAATGTGTGGAATAATGACGCTTCTCAGGCTCAATAACAGGCACTTCTTGACTTTATATGAATTATATTAATTAGCATAAATCGGTTTTTGCTGTGTCCATTTTATTTTTATTCATTTTCTAGTAATTCTACTGCACTGCTTAGCTCATGTCTCTTGTAGGTGCCTTTAGTTGTAGTTGTAGTGACTTTGCTTTTTATTATAGTAAACGGGTGACTTGCCAAAAATGATTTATGGTCACTCAACAATGAGCTGCATGTTATGGGTTGTTGTTGTGACATTTAAAAAACAGGAAGATATCTTTGTGTTTTTAAAAATAGTCTGAATTTTTTGTTATTTATTTAACAGGGGCAGCAGATGACATTAGTGCATCTTGACCCACAAAACCCCTCACCTGATAAGCTGTACCAGGGTCGAGTGCAATTGGTTGAGGTACAGTAAATAACCCTGATATTCATAGCTCTGATGGAAACAGTCTACAGGTACTTAATGTAGTTGCATTAAAGGAATATAGGCTAATAGTAACAGAGCTTGTAAGCAACATACTTCATTTGGAGTATGAGGTAAAAGTAAATTATTGTTTTTAAAAGATTTTCAACATGAACATGCATACATTAACCCTATGCTGTAGCAATGGGGCTAGGCCCGCTCTCTCTAACAAGGTTCAAATAGTCAGTCAGGATTTAATTGGATGATCAAGAAGTAGGGGCTCTCGCCTGGCACAAGCTTCAAGTCCCAACTCCTGTGGACTTCTCTCTCTTCTCCCTGCTTCTCCCCTTTCTTCCTCTCCCCCCTCCTTCTCTTCATGTGATCTTATGTTGTGTGTCTCTGTGTGGCATCTTGACAATCATTAATCCACAGTAGGTATACTAAGGTAAACTTCACAATTGTTTCTGTTCAAGGGACCCCCCCAGACCTCGGCAAACATCCTCTCTCCTTTGACTGTTTGAAGTGTTTACTCTTCCCAATAATAATTGCTTACACTTATATAGCGCTTTTCTGGACACTCCACTCAAAGCGCTTTACAGGCAATGGGGATCCCCTCCACCACCACCAATGTGCAACATCCACCTGGATGACTTTATCTAAACACTAAGAGACACTTTTAAGTCACCTAAAGCTGTAACAATATAATACATTTTATTTTCAACAAATAAGCCATGTGTGTAAGGAGTATGTCTCAGAAGAAAACAATATTGTTTTCAAGCAAATCAATTATCTTTTCCCCTCATTTTCCAAGACTTCACTAGTGTCTCCTGTGAATGGTTGTTTTTGAAAGAATGAAACGTGATGAAAGAATGGAATGTGATTGTACAAGCTTTCTCAAGAGAGGTTTTCCTGTTCTGACTCAGACTGTTCTTGTGAACACTAGTTTTGCTTGTGCATATTGTCTTTATCATAGCATTTCAAAAGTGGAACAGCTACTTAAAATGCATTTTTTGATACATACATGAATAAAGAAAGCACAGTTATGGGAAAAGGATGTACAGCTTAATGGAGCACCCGTAAACCTTAGTGAATTTCTACCCCCAAGGAAAAACGACAGAAATCATTGATTGTGTTTTACATGGGTGCCTTCGAGAACGATCAGATCAGCTTTTCGAACGTGAGGCATGTGAAAGTCCAGGTCAACTCAGTGATTGGGAGTCTAGTTATTTTAAATAACTGAGAGGAGGTTTGAGAAGGTGTTTCTCAAAAGAGCGACCAGAAGCTTTTGAAATTGGCAACCAAGAGATTTTTAGTTGTGTAGAAGTTGTGTAGTCCCCTCAGTAAAACACAGAGGGGAATCCCATTATGTATAACAAGACAGCATAGATAAGCTGAGATAAGTGGCAGTCACTCTGCCTCCAGAGAAACTATGGCTTTTATTGCCACTAGTCCAACAGGGAACTGAACTAATGCACATAGGAATTTCAACTCTGATTTTGACTGGTCATCATTTGAGCCAGGAGATAAAAGAGCAGACGGGAGCTGAGGGCTGGACAGTGGACTGCGAAGTTGAAAAGCGGTTCTGAGATTCTGGGTGTAATATCTCAAGTAATCAAGGTCCTTCTTCAGGGAACAGGTTGAACCCTATGGTCAGACTGTTACCACTGAGGTCTTGGCTTCATCATCAATCAGCTGGGAATGGGATTCCAAAGTCGTCATGATACAACTCCCGTAGACAGTCAGGATTCCCTCGACTTTCAGCAAATCAAGGGTCTTGCTGTGATGTGAGTGACAAATGCAGTGCTCCCTCAATCAGGACTAACTGTCCTGTAAGGCACAGGGGATCTTGTAGCATTTATAAAGCAATGAATGGGGAGAAAGTCTCTGCATTCCTCACATGTAATCAAGCCATAAACTGGGTGTGAATAAAACTGGAAAATCTGTTTTGTTGAAATATACCACCATGGGATTCATCCCCTTGACAGCACATTGGAGCAAGACAAGTGACATGATCGAGCCCTTCTGTGTTCTGTTGTGGGTGCTTCCTAGATAATCTACAGTTATCGTTATCTTTATCATTCCAGGTGTTATCAAAGCTTTAGTCTGTCCTCCACTTCTTGCTTTCTTTTTCTGTTATGCCTGATTGCCACACTTTTTTAACTCTAAAACCGGTCTTATCTAATTCTGTCTGCCTGTCACTAACTAAACATCACGTACCCAGAGGGCCGTAAAAGGACCTTATCTGCATGACGCCCTGGTTGTTGCACTTTCGCACACACGCGAAAAAAGAGGCAAGGCAAGGTAAAAACACGCAGCTACCGGCCCGAGGGGAACACTCTGCAATGAACTCTTTTTATTTAAGGGCAATTTCCGGCACGCCACCACGAGCAGCCCCGTGTCACGGGAGGAGCTGATGATGGTGCTGGCTGGCCTGGGGGGGCTGCGGGTGCGAGCGCTGCACTTCTCCGAGAGCCAGCGGCTCAGCCTGGGGGAGGTGGGGCTGGAGGAGGCCAGCAGTTCCGGGAGTGGGGTGGCCGCCAGCGCCGTGGAGGAGTGCACCTGCCCGCCCGAGCTCCGCGGGGACTCCTGCCAGGTGGGTCCCGCCGAGCTGGTCATCACTTCCGGGGCCGGGCGGGGCCCCTGACGCACCGGGAGCCACCGGGAGCCAGTGAGATTCCCGCTGGCGCTGGCTCCTGACAAGCCCTTACAGGCGAATGAATTGCGTGTTCAAGCTGAAATTCCTGTCCTCAAGGACAGATCTAACCTAATTTATTGAGCATGAAAGACATAAAAAACTGTATTTACCACATGAGCTTTTTCACTGCAGTCCCTCTTGTATCTCTTATTTCTTTGTATTGTCCAGAAGCTACTGTTTTCTCTCATCTAAAGCAGCATGAATTGCTCCCTGTTCCTGGCACATACTGCAGTACATACTGTACTAGAATAGCGAATCCCTGGTTATCTGTGCTTTCCACATGAATGTTCTGTGAAACATGACAAAACTTTCTTTGAGACTCACAATTTGATGAAAAAATATTTTTATTAGAGTTAACTCTTTTCATTTTTAAGTATTTCACACAATTTATTTTTCTCAGTTTGTTTTAATTCTCATTTATTTTCTTGTGTTAATAACATGCAACATATGGTAAACAGATTTATGGATCAGATAACTCCCAATGTTCCCTGCTGAACAGTATGTTTTTTAAAAGGATAATTTCCCACGATACATAAAAATAAAGGAAGTGGACAATTCTGTGTTAGACCATTCGCTTTTCAAAATTCTCTTTTTTACAGTTAGAAGAGATGGCATGGTCTTATTTAGAAGTTTTGGATGCAATTAAGAACCTATACACTTTCCTAAATATATACTAATTTTAAAAATGAGCTAAAATAATGTGCTTTCCAGTGATATGAACTGTGATTGTATACATGATTTGTATAGTCATTTTTGACTCTAATCTCTTGACCTTAGATTTATAGGCCCTCTGGCTCATGTGTAAGTAAGCGCAACACACCTTGTTGATGCAGAAGACAAATATATGTAGCCTCTAGGGAAGTGGTGTACCGCTCCCCACCCTTTCACGTAAAGTACAAGTTTGTACAATGTGACTAAGGGTGAATACTGTACAGGAATCGTCTGGCTATGTCTGACTGCATATGGGTGGAGTTGCATGCTTTGTTATTGTCTTATGCTGCACCTCACCTAAGCAACCTTTGGTTTGAAGTAGCTGTGTTTGGCAGTGATATTGCAATGTTTTTGTGCGTGTGTAACATCCAGCAAGTTGCTGCAGCGGACCTGAATCAAACGTTGAGAGGAGGAGCTAACAGAGACTGCGGTGTTACCTGTGGGTTTAAGAAGGGGGCTTGAGTGCAGGAGAGTTATTTTAATTGAGGTGAAGAAGAATTACATTTGGAAGATGTGGGGAGAAAGGTTTGGGCTGAAAAATTGGAGATGGCTAGTGGTCTGGGCAGCAGTTTTAGTCAGCTGTGTGGCACCTGAACAGCAGAGGATCTTGTTTCCCTCATTAGATACTTTTGCAGCGAGTTCAGTGAATCAGGTAATGTTTGGAAAAATTATTTCTACATTCTTTACAATTGTATAGAACAATTCACTTACACTTTCCTGTAATCTGTTGCTTTACCCTTTCATCCATCTCTGTTTGTGATGTACTTTACATTTAGTGAACTTCATAAATCTTTAACATTGTTTTCTTTTTTATTTACTAACTATTCTCTGATGTTCTTATTGTCTGCTACTAAAAGGAGAAATTGTAGGAGTCTGAACTGATAGGAATTATGCTGCTATTAATTCACTTTTATAACCGGCTTGATAATATACACAAATAAATGTGTGTACTACATGTATAGCATAATATAGTCTAGTATAAGGTGAAGAACACAAAGTTTATATATGTAGTAATAAATGCATTGATTGCTAATTGTTTTTGCTGATTCAATATGAAAGTGATAATTGCAAGGTGATGGCAAAGTATGTCAAGGTGTGGCAAACGTATTTCTGTTCACCCATTTTTCAGAACATCAGTAGTATTCAACAGTGTTGCTTTGTTTTTATAAGCGTGATACTTGTGTTTTTCAGCAGTTTTAAAAGCTGCATCTTGCGAGTTAGTGACAGATGATCAAATTCCAATCATTAGTGGTTTCAGTACTTACAGTACCTTTCTAAAGAAAACATGCTCTTTTTGCAACATCCTTTGATGACATCAGTAAGATGAGATCAAGTCTTTAATATATACTGATTCATTTTAAAATATCACTGCTTCTCTTAAAATTATTCTCATACTCTGAAGTTTATTAGCAGAAATACTACTATCAAAGCTGCAGCAATATTCTTTTTTTACACAATTCAGTTTCTCTTGATTAAAAGAATAGGAACATTAGAGTGATGACCAACCAGAGGAAGTCATTCAGCCACTCCGGCTTATTCTGGTCTTATAGTAACTAATTGATCTGAGGAAGATAAAACACTTCTGTATCCCATCCACAGGATGGAATGGAGCATCTCCAAGGAAAACCAGGTTGCTGTTGTAAGTTGTGTTGGAGGACCAGTTAGTTGTGCCCAAATGTCTGAAACAGAAGCACCAGTGTGGTGACCGGGGACCTGTGGAAGGGACATTGTTTGGTGGACAAAGCGTTAAACCGAGGTCCTGCTTTGAGTAGGGGAGCTAACCCCTGTGTCCTGGTTGAATTTCCCGCTAGACTTTTACAATACGGCCTACTTAGAGTTCTCCTTTTCATTCAGTTTGAACATCATTCTTGCTTCCCTTCCTGATCCGTTGTGTACTGGAGCTACTGGTGCATAATGACAGTCATTTGTCCCCATGGAGGTGCTGCACTTTAGTGGTGACCATCCTGGATGTAAAAAACTTGGAGATCCCTTGGAATAAAATGTACTATACACATGCTAATTCTTATTGTTAGTCATTTTTTCCTTCAATTTTCCTCTGTGACATGAAACAGAAATGTGCCCCTGGATACTACAGAGACAAGACTGGCCCATACCTTGGTCGCTGTGTCCCGTGCACCTGTAATGGCCTTTCCAGTGAGTGCGAGGACGGGACAGGAAAGTGCCTGGTAAGTCAGTCCTCCGGTTCGACATCGGTTTCCATGCCGACAGTGCTGTAACGTTCCTGTCTCTCACGGGTCATAAAATTCTAGGAAAACAAAGTATACGTGTACAGAGAGACCACAATCCTGAGTAAACAACGCATGAGTGGAATGGGCGCGTTGGGTGGATTATTGGCAGAGAGCGTTAATTGTCTCATAGTGTGCAGATCGACTCTTACCCACGGGATTCTCAACAACACTACCACTGTTCTGGAAATGGCTTTTAGTCAGTGGGGTAGTTTGTACTGTGTGGGTTGGGTTGTTAGAGGTCCACGATCGTCAGAGCTGCCTGAAATCCAGGATCTGACCTGACAAATGCTAAATTGGAGAGAACTAAAATATTAGGCTGAGACTTAGAAGAGTGTTACATTTCCAAAAGGAACTTCATTTGTGGTTTAAGTTAGTTTTGATTTATAAATACGATAAACAAGATATCTTTATGTAGTGTATAATAGTTTTAAATGTTTTATAACACGAGAGATAACAATAAACGTCTAAATCTTGATATTTAAATGTATCTTTCAACTTTATTTGATGTTAATATTTCATGTTTGAGTTGTCCTGATCCCATCCATGCGGCTGTGCTCACCTGAACCTTGAGTCATTGTCTAGACAGCGTTCCACAGGAGCATTTTGTGGTTAAGTCCGGTGGACTACTCAGCACGTAATTTTGGAGTGATGCAAAATGAAAGATATGCTCATCTTTCACATTTTGGAAGGAAACACTCATCATGAAAATGCATGTGTAAGAATTAAGATGAAAGTTTGTTGTCAGATGTTCTTTTCAGATTTTTATTTACTATAAGTAGTAGACGGTTTTTTTCTTGTTGAGGTTTCCTCTGGGTGCTCTGGTTTCTTCACCTTCTGTAGACATGCTGGATAGGACAATCGCTGGCTCTAAATTGTCTCTGTGTGCTTGTGCATGAGATTGTGTGCGCCCTGTGATGGACTTGCACCATATCCAGGTGTTAGGACTGGCTGGTACCCTTTGCTTCCATTTTCAGTGACCATTAATTGGAATGCGCAACTTTCTCCTAGATGGAAACCTGTCATAACAAAACAAACAGAAACCTAAACTGAACCTGCCAGTTTTACCTACAGTATGTGTGATCCACTGATATTATTGATTGGGTCATTTCCACATTTATTTTTTTTCTGTACACTTCTGATCTTGTATATACTGGACATCATAAGAAAGTCCCCACATCTTGATACACTCAAGGGGCTTTTGCCAATGCATTAGCACTACTTAAACTTTTCATTAATTAGCGACAGAGAGGTGTATGGGCACTGGTGATGAACCTGCTGGATGTCAGTCTTGGTGCAATTCAAACACAGAATGGAGCCAGATTGCCCTGCTTATCAAGAGAGTAATGCCTTTATTTTATCAGTCTGTTGGAGGCTGGACTTAGTTACCTCAGATGGGCTTGTGAGGAGTGGAGCTGTTTCCTCTTTAGCTGTAAACCTCTTTGTGCAGAACACTCACATGGACATCACTAAGTAATGGTGCAGACGTGCAGAACAATTCAATAAGTGCTGTGTACAAAAGACTGGCCTGTGGCGAGGTCCAAGTGTGCTGGTCTGGGAAGGATGTCTAGTCACTACAAAACCCATCTTGTAACAGGGCAACATGATTCACTTGCTGTCATTCCTACTGGCATGTCCTGATATAAAAACATTCCAGTGGTAATATTTCATGCTCGCCAGGCTTGAACCCTATTGAACATTTGAGGGATAAACTGGGACAATATACTGTATGGCGTCTAGGGTTCAGAGATCAGTGAACAGGCAGGCGTTTGTCCAGCCACCTGCCACCAGAGAAATGGAACAAAGTCTCACCCGACAGGCCTGTGTCACAGCTTGGATTGCTTCCAGCATTGGCCAGATGTGCCAATAGCCTATACGTTTTGCAATTTATCCCCTTATGACCCACTGTTGATCAGCTTCATTGATGACAAATGCTAATGACCTTAATGAGATTATCTATTACATATCTGTTCAATAAGATGTCATTGCAGCTGCTACAAAATGAAATCTTGCCATTTTCCTGATAATTGCATGTGTTGCACTTTTGAACATTTAAGTTTTATTTCTTGTGAAGTTCAGTGTAGCTGTTTGTTAATCCTGATTTATTTCCTACCCTGGTTAATCCTGACAGTTTATAATAATACAAAATGAAGCCCTTTGTCTTTATTGAACTGTAGAGAGGAGCAATTATTCACGAGGAACAACACCTGACAATGAGTCAATCAGATTTGATTGGTAATAATGATGGATTAGCTACTAAGACTACACTTCATATTGGAAACACATGTATAGTTTTTGTCGTGCTGTTAAGGTTTCAAAAGTGATAGATTACAAACTGAGTTGTAGAAACATCAAAGCTGTAATAATATTTGAAAACATTTACGCATGGTGAGGAAGGTGTTCATTTTTTCATTACATTTTTTGTTTAACTACACAAATATGTTTTGTTTTTTGTAGATTCTCTTTGTACTGTACACAGATTGAGCACATTTACTGAACCACGCATGGCAATTTGCAGACACATCAAATATTTTTTCTCAGTAACACTTTTCAACTGTGCTTATGTTACTAGTAGGTACTAAGTATGAGCAGTTATCTTTATCACCATCACCCAATGGCTCGGTGATTGTTTTTCGGCACTGGACTGATTTCAGACCTCCTTCACTGATCACCGTGAGAAGGTAGAGGAAACCAGAGATTCTGGTGCTCTGCTGTGTACGCATCATTTGAAGATATGTTTTGCTGATATAATGAAACTTGAGTAAGCCTGGCTGTGTCCTTACATATTTTCAGTTCTTATGTAATACTTTTTCAAGACCAGGCTTGACCTAAATGATGTGCTGGTTGACAGAGATAACTACACATGGCTGAGTGTGAGTGGAAGGGTGAGGAATCAAAGAGACTGTGTGGCAAACAAGACCATCAAGGGCAGGTCCTGAAACACCATGTGTTCATAATCATCCCACAATCAATTTCCAATGGAGGGCAATCTAATGTACATACAGAACAAGACCCACTTCCTAAGTTTATACATGTATAAATATGGATATATGTAAGAGGAGTGTGAGAGGTTTAGTAACATCAATGAAAGTCCAATTTTAACACGTGTTTTAACTTTTTGTTTAGAACTGCCAGCACAACACTGCAGGAGACAAATGTGAGCGTTGCAAAGAGGGCTTTTATGGAGACGCTCTGCAAAAAAACTGCCAAGTCTGCCCATGTCCGTTCAATATACTTTCCAACAGGTACTGTATGTCAGATTTTAACCCAGCCCGTGTCTCTGCTTTCATCTTTTATATACAGTATATATATATTTTAAATCTTGTTACTATGCAGCTTTACCTGGACCTTATAATTTGCTTTCTGAAATGATTCATTCTAACCATTAACGGCAGATTCTAGAATGAGATGTTAGAATGACCAAGTGAATTACAAGAAAAGAAAACCCCGCATTATTAATTGATGGCATGTCAACTCATTATTGGGTGTTTGTTTTTGCAGTTTCGCTACTGGTTGCAAGGACGTTGGTGGAGGATTTGAGTGCGTGTGTAAACCAGGATACGCTGGACGCAAGTGTGAAAGGTGAACATTTTGTTTCTAATTTAGTCACTGAAACTGAAGTTCAATGGTCACACCGTAGGGGTCGGTGTCTATTGCACACAATGAAGGGGCTTATTCCAAATGGGATTCTTGAGTACCTTCAGGTTGAACATGGTACACATGGCAATACTGATACTGCTTCAGGATGTTGGGATAGATCAGGGTTGGTCAAACGGCAGCTCCTGGCTAGCTCAAGTACAGCTCACTGTGACACCCTGAGATCAAGGAAAAGAAAGCAATAAATGTTAGTGAAAACCAGAAATATGAAAGATCCTACTTCAAAAGTATCTGCGTTTGTCAAGCTTTTTCTGTTCACTGACATTTTCTATACTTCACTCTAGTGGGAGAGATGCATCATGCACCTACAGAATGTACACTACACTGAAATGTTATTTCTTCAGTAATATAATTTTAGCCATTATTATATGCTGTAAGGTGAGCATTATTAATAGTATTACCAGTGATAATATTGAGGTCTCTCATTATTGAGGTCAAAGATCACATTGAAAGCTACTTAAAAACATGAACACTCACTTTATTTAATGAAAATTGCATTCTTCTTGATGAGAAGTTCAGGTATGGAGTTCTCTTTCCATAGTCTAAGTGCTAAAGGAATTATAATATGCATCAATAAACCTTTTCATTAGTTTGGTTACATTTTAATTAACGCTACAAGATGACAAATTCAAAGGAATAGCTTACTTAATGTTTAAGTATGTGATGTTAACATTCCAGTCTGAGGAAGTGACAGCACTGACCATAAGCTCAAAGTTGCCAAAACCCCCCCTCAGATTCAAGCAATAAACAAGGGAGGCAGCTGCAAGGGTGAAGACTGGGCGGAGGGAGGGGTGTGAGAAAAGATACAATATTTGTACGTAAGGGATTACAAATTGACCCTCGGAACTGCTGTTTAACAATGCTCCCCTCCATTTCTTGTACTGTGCAGGTGTGCTCCTGGTTACTATGGAGATCCAATGGCATTTGGTGGCAGCTGTCGTCCCTGCAACTGTAACAATGGTAACCCTAGCAGCTGTGACCCCAGGACTGGAGGTGAGTGGCAAGAATACAGATCTGAGTTGATTAGTGGTCTTCTTAAAACGAGCCCAGGATTATCTGCTCTGTGATGTCATTAGATTTGTCCACGCTGCTTTTTTGAAGTGCTTGTATGAATTCCATGCCATGCTGAATCCTTATTGTTCTTGATCTAAAATCAATGTTGAATTTGACTTGGAAGTAAATGTTTTGAATAAACTATTATGGTATCCTGTATGGTTCATCTGCTTTCTGCTGTCCAACATTTTTATTGAGATGTTTGATTTAGGATGGTTAAGACATAGAGCACAAATGTTTCTTAGAATCACAGCTGCAAGGAGTGACCTAAAAGTTGCTCCTATTCATTAACTTAGAGGAGCACAACAAGAGAGCAGTCTGTATTTTAAGAAAGTTGTGTCAGAAGTTCCAAATATCCAGAAGTTCAGAAATAACACATATTGTATGTTTCACATCATGAACAATACTGGACAGTATTTCAGAAATGCAGTAATCATGTGTGTTTGTATGAATCAATGAGAAGAGGAAACATTTTCATAATTTTGCCCAGTAAAAATACAAACAAGTGTGGTGTTGCCATCAATATGTTCTTATCGTACAATATGCTCAGTTAAATCTTTCCAATTGGTTTTATATTGTTGTCATCTATTTAACAGTTGTAAAGTTTAGGTACCGTACTGTATAAAATGTTCTAGCTAATTTGATCATGGAAATGTGACATATAAAAAAAAAAACATCTCACTGGGCTTTTTTCTTCCTGTTGTAGTTTGCAGAAGCAACGAGGAGCCCAAGGATACTACCTCGGACGGGCAGTGTCAAGGTTAGTTGTGTTTTTCTTTGTCACCTTATCTCTGCCAAAGCAAAGTTCATTCCCAGCTCAGAGATCCTCCCAGATCTATTCCAAGCTATCCAAAATGAATAGTAGATGTTTTTTACCTTTCCATCACACATTTGTTATTTTCTCTCATTGTAGACTGAGTAGGTGGCAATTTCTAATGGTTATATTAAACGTAAAGTACTGATTTCAATTGCTGCATGTGTATATTTGTGCATATTTCGTTATATAATCCTCATTTGTGCATATTTATTACACATTTATCACTTTTGTGTTAGTGTGAGTGTGCATGTCTAGCTCATGTCTCTTACAGCACATTCTTCAATGGTACTGAAGAGTTTTAGGATAGGTGAAATGATCTGTGTATCTCTATTTTCCTCCATAACTGTGGTTGTTTTGTGCTTGTTTAAGTGAATTTACTATACTGTAAGTCACTTTTCTCAGGGACAGAGTTCTTCTAAAATTTATTTCACATTAGCTTCAATCCGATTTTTCAGTCTAGAATGCATGGAGATATTGAGGCCACCATGTACTGTATGAGTATGAATTTGTAGTCTTCTCGGATTCAGGTGATCTCTTTGTGATGTTTTTATGAGTATTATTATTCCCTGGAGTCTATAGACTTTATTTAAAAAATCCTGACTTTTCATATTCTTATAAACATTGGAAATACCATTTAATTTATTTATAATCTAACGTTAAAAAAACCCTGGATGAAACCAAAGATTTGACAAAGACACACTCACACAATTGTGAACATAAGCTAAATGTGGTTATTGTCTAAAATTAACACCTGATTCAGCTAATTATGTTGAGGCTTTTAAATCTCATTATACTACAGTGTACGTGGTTTTAAACTGTGGTATTAACAGTAATAGAGCAATGAATTCACAGCTCTCACAGAGTATGTGTATATTGGATTTAATTTGTATAGCTCTATTAAACTTTTATACACAGAAATCAACAGAAATAGAGGAGCTTAATTTATTGATTATGCTTTCTTGATCTCTGTCATTTCCTTCAGAGTGTGACAGCTGTGTTCAGACATTATTGAGCGATCTTGAGAGGATGGATGATGAACTACTGAGTTTAAAATCCCAGCTTGAGAACGCTGGCGCTAGCTCTATTGCAAAGGAAAAAATGAAGAACTTGGAGGATGCTATTGCAGCTACAAAGGTACAAAGGTTTAATTTTTCCACCAAAATATGAAATCCAGATTCAAAACATAAGCATGATCATCCTTATATCTTTTCAATCAAATACTGAAACATTCAGTAAACTAAATTTGTTCATATACTTAAACTTTGTATTTACGTATTACTGAGACATATGCAGGCTGAACCATAGAATTTGGTATTGAGTGGATCTCTTTTTATTTTTATTTCATCAAGACTAATGAACAGAGGAACTCTTGCAATGCTGCTTAATAATTGCAAAATTTTTAAAACTAAAATCATGCTGGACTGTGACTGTGAAGTAGAAAGCGCTGGACTAGAGAGGTTCAGCCTATAGGAGTATCTTATCCAGCAGTCCTGTGCCCTGAGCACAGTGTGAGCTCTACAGCCCAGAGATCACATGCTCGAAATGAGGTTCTACGAGCAGCACAGTGCTGTTGGCCAGCTGCACCTTGAGCAGGATCAGCAGGCTTACAGGCAGGAGACGATCAGAGTTGTCTCAGCAACCCCTGTGGTTCACTGGGCGCCTGTGAGCTTAAGCTACGTCAGGCCTCTGATGCTTTCGTTAATAAAAGCGAGGAAGGCAGGTCATATTTCAAAAGACGCATGCTCATAGTCTGCAGTCTCTGCCTTTGTGTGGTAATGGTGGTGCCATTAACAGTGGCAATCTTAAAAATTGTGAGGTATCACAGAAAGAATGCATCTCAATTCACAGTTTAAAAATAGACTATATCAATCAGCTCACATACAGAACTACATACGCGTAAAACTGCGATTGCTCGCACTTACAGTTCATTTTGCCCCAGGAATCTTAGTCTGCCATTTTATTTCAACCCGCCATTACAAAGCTGCTTCAGGAGCAGTCGTAGTGAGCAGCCTAGCTGGATGTTATCCTGAAGCTGAACACAACCTGTGATTTTTTTTCACATTTCAAAACAAACACCAAAAGGGTTTCTAGCAATAAGGACTTATCCTTATTCAACATGACACTAGCATTAGAGGTAGGCTACACCACAGCCCTGGCAGAGTACTCAGTAATTATTCCATAATTATTGTATCAGGTGTATTCCTAGCAAGTATAATCACATTTAATTCCATGTATTCTTCCTTTTCCAGAACCTGATAAGCAAGTACAGTTCCAGTCTCGACAGCCAAAAGTCTAAAGTCTCTGGCCTGGAGTCCGATACCATCAACCTCACTCAGGATATAAACATTTTGAAAGAAAAGGTACCAGACGTCTTCATATTTTCTCTTGTTTACCTCTTGTGTTTTTCTCTTGTGTACATATGAATGGTTTTACAGTTTTGATCTAGTACTAAAATGTTTCCAATTGTGATATAAATGAAACTTGTTCTGGACAGCAGTCAACAATTATTTGTATCTTGTTCATGATATTTTGATATACTGTATATGAATTGTGTAAAAATCATTTTCCCTTAGCTGATCTGTTTTTTTTTTTGTCCATCTAGGCCGAAAGAAATTCTCTAAATTCTCAAATAATTATGGGTAACATAGATCTGACAAGCCAGAGAGCTATGAATTTAGTGACTGAGGCACGGACGGTTTTCGGGAATGTTCAAGGTAAAGTATATAGTATTTAAACATGTTGCTAAAGTCCATGTATACTGAATTTAATTGAATTTACCTATACATTCGGCTGTACTGGGGTCACCCAGAGTGGGGCTGGAGACCAATGAAGTTGGTTTCCTCCATTTTCCTCCATTTCCCTGTATACTTGGCTTGGCTTTATAATGGACTCACAGGGCCTTGGCAAGGTCTTGACCCTCTGGAAAGATGTAAAGAAGAGAGAAAGAATATACACTCAAAAATCACAGTGGTGCTATGCAGGTAAGAAATGCAATATAGTCAGCTGGAGGCACAGTGTAATAATGTAAAATAAATTTTATTTAACAATTGTCAACATTTCGGTAGACAAGCTTGCATCATAGCTAAGATTTTTGGCTAAAAATTCCATGTAAAAGGAAGATCCCCTTTTTAATTGGAAAAACGATCATTAAATATACAGAACCATTTGGTTATGTAAGTAACAGTTTCTATAGCCAAATGTATACATATACATACAGATATTATTAAAACATATTATTTTGAAATTATTTGTTACAGCAGATGTCTCACATTTTCTTAAGTAATCAACTTCGGTTCATAAAGAGGGTTTACAGTCAAATTCTGTGTTCAACCCATATGGTGTTAATGTATTTAAATGAGAAATCCCGGGCCTCCGGTGTCACTCAGCAGGGACCCAGCCACTTGAGCCAAAGGGAGATCTCCCCTCAGCCCGGCGGCTCAGATCCCTGCTCTTCACAGGGAAGGGCGGTGACGTCACCGCGCTGGTGAGCCGGCTTGCGCAACCTGTAATGGTGGCCATATGCGTTACACTATGTAAATCTTCTGAGCCATGCTGATGCTTCTAATGCTTCCTGTCTCACCAAGAAGACGGGAGATATTCTCCAGTGAGGTTGGAGCGGCCGGAGCCGTGAACGATTCTGTAGTGCGCCGTGAATGAACAGTGCTTCTGTTTTCCCTGCAGAGCTGCTCAGGAGCTTCACGGAAAGAGTGGACGGCCAGGGTGTTCCCGGCGAGGACTTCCAGAGGATGCTGGCTGACGCGGAGCGCATGGTGCGAGAGATGGAGCAGCGCAGCTGCAGCGCGCAGAAGGAGATGGCGCACAAGGAGAAGGACGAGGCCAAGAAACGTACGGCTTGAAAACGCCGGCGCTGGTTTTTGTCCATGATCAGGCTTCTCGTGTGTGTCGAAATGAGTATAATCCTCTGTTACGGCTCAAGATCCAAAATGTCAGGATTTTGTTTAATTAAGTCACCAATACTTCTACTAGCTCTTTCAGGCTCATCCTTCAGTACTTTTGCCATTATAAAAGCAGCTGCACAAATTCGCCCCATAGACATGATCCTTGTGTTCACTACAATACCTTGTCTATTGTAACTTTTGCATAACATAAAAGCATACCAGTAAGAGTAAGTAAGGAGTAATAGGGCAATTAAGTGCTTATTAAGAAAGCTTTCAGATTCAAATACTCCACCTCTTGATTAAAAGGAAATATAGCCCTGTGATGTCTTGGTCGTAATAAACATTTTGCCTTGATATGTTTGATAATATTGATATATTTCTGTTTTAATTAGATCAGATTTGACTTTATTATCCAATGATTTAGAATGCTAGCTTATGTCTGCATTGTCATGTCATGGGTAAAATTTTAAAATTTTTAGTATTAATTGTATGGAATATTGGAATCTAAATCTTTGCTTTCAAACCATACGATGAAGACTTCACAATAGATGTATTTCTGTGACTCTTTCAGTGCTGGATCGTGTTCAGAATGACTTGACAAAACAACTTGAGAATAACCAGCAAGCCGCCAAAAGAGTTGGGGGTTTATTGAATCAGTATGAATCCAAGCTTGAGGATTTGGAAGAGGCTTTAAAACAAGCCAGGGAAGCTGTGAAGAAAGCCAACGATCAAAATGGAGTGAATGCCCTTTCACTGAGAGATGCTGTGGTAATTTCAGCGCACTGCACTCAAAACACTCTACACAAAATCATCTAAAAAACAGCCAGTTCTGCAATGCTCTTTACCACTTTGGTAGATAATTTGGGAGCACAAAGAATTTAACAATTCTGCTTTGTTAGTGATTTATAGTTACTGATTCCCATGTCTTTCAGAACACTGTGAGACACAGATTAAAGAATATGAGAGACTCATATTGTAACGTACTGTTTGCTGCTAACAGAAATAAGTGAAGCACCATCAAGGCACCCTTGCTGTGTTTTGCAGAAGCGTATGGAAGATCTGCAGGAGGAACGCAACAAGGTTGCAAGCCAAATTGGAATTGCCAAAGCTCAAGTGGAGCAGACTGAAGATCTTCTCGGAAAACTTCAAGACAGTAAAAAGGTAAACCGAATATGGTGTATACCTAGAGCACGCACACTGGAGTCAGTACAAAGGAAGCATGTTTTTTTTTCTTTTTTCAATGCAGTGTCAAAATAGGCATTCTCCCTTGAGCAGTTCCACCTGCTGCGCATGCAGTGAACACATGAAAATACTGTATTACCTGGAAGTGACAAATGTGAAATGACAATTACACATTATTGCTTTTGAATGTTAATAAAGCTAAGTAGTGTATTTATAGAGGGTCTCTTCAAGTCCAGTCAGTCCCAAGAAATGGTTAAATATGTATTTTTATATAAACCCAAAAGTCAGATATTGCTTATCGAGATGATTACAAGTGTTTATCCCGCCAGCCAAATACCGAGTTTTGTTTTTATTTAACATCTTCAGCAAATAATCATGCATTTCTGGTAAAATAAAATGTGTATCTCATTCTTTATCAGGAATATGAAGAACTGGCAGCAAAATTAGATGGAGCAAAAACTGACCTGAGCAGAAAAGTGAATGAACTTTCCAAAGCTGCATCTAAAGAAGATATTGTTGAGAGAGCTGAAAAACACGCGGAGAATCTTGACCGTCTGGCTAGCGAACTGCAGGAGTGAGTCCGCCTATACAGTTCTCTCATTCTGTCTTGGTGGGAGCGTCTGTTGGGTGTCTTTAGTATGTTAAACTAAGACTTTTAATAAACTCATGAATATTTTGGAGCAATCCCACAAAACAATGTGCTCTCTTATGCGGAAAGTGTTTTGGGTTGTCCTATTTTGAAAGAATTTTGACTTCTTCATACTTCGCTCCTTGTGCTTTGTAAAGTTCTAGTCAAAAATAAGCACAGCATCGACTGCAGATCCCTTTGAATATTTTAGAACGTCAGTATTTCCCAAAGCTGGGTTCACCTCACCTTTGTGAATATTGGGGCATTTCAGGGTTTTCAGAGGTTTTTCAGGGGCTTCCTAGATTGTAGATTTTAATATTTCCACGTGCTCCAGAGAGTTACCTGTCCCAAGTGAAGATTTCATTGCTTACACAGATTCTCTACCTTCTGCATATTGGATTAAATTCTTTATCTAGATCCATTTTCTTGGCTTTGCAGATTTTTAGTTTAAAGTCCAGTCCAAAACGTGAAGCGGAATTCATAATCTCAAGCTCTCTTGATTTTATTTTGCATTTGTCTGCTTTTGTGATTACAGAGCAGTGAAAAATGCAAGCGGTAGTTCTGAAGTGCGCTGTGCAGTGGAGGCTATCGAGGCCTACAAGAACATCACTGACGCAGTGAAGGCTGCAGAAGATGCAGCCAAACAGGCGAAAGCCGCAGCAGATAAAGCTTTGAGGGTAAGCGTCTGTCTAGGATTCTGATGGTCTTATCAGTAGTTTTCTTATCTGATAGGAATAGTTATATATAATTTAAGAAGTGTTGTGTAAGTGTACAGATTTAGTCCAGTGCAAACTGACATAAGTCCAACACTGCTAGTTTGTAAGAGTTTTCACTTTCATAAACCAGGAGCTAATCTACAGTGTGAGTTTTGGTGTCTGCAGTTAGCAATCAAATAAAGTTATTTGGGAGTGATCAGTAAGAACGTCATCATTACACTTATTAGGGCCTTTAGATACTTTAATAAAATATATATGTATTTATTTCTAGGATGTTCAGCAAGAGGACCTGACAAGAAGAGCAAAGGACCTGAAAAACAGTGCTGCAAATCTGCTATCAGAAGCAGGAGAAGAGCAAAATGATCTTAAAAGTGAGTTTTTGCTTCCACATTAGTTTGTTTGCCTATCCCACGTGAGGAATGAGTTAATGTGTTACACAGCTGTTAGATGCATGTTAAATATGAAACATTGTGGGAGTGATTATGTCCAGTATTAGCTAGTAAAAATATTTAATGGTAACTGTGAGCATGTTTTTCAGGATATGTTTTTCAATATACCACCTGGGGAAATTATTCCACCAAGATGAAATAGATTAGGAATATATTGCTTAAGTTAATTCTCCTCTTCATGGTTTGTTTATCAGAATGTATAGAGATTCTAGCTGCTCTCATGTCTCAGGCAATACTTTAAGTAACAGCTATAGGTAATATAGTGATGCATTCATCTTTAAATTTTACAGCGGCCACTTCAGACCTTGCAACCTTACAAAATCGTTTGAAAGACGCTGAAAAAAAGAAGAAATCCTTACAAAATGACCTTCTAACAGCTCAAAATGAACTCGACCAGATTAGGAGAGGTATGTCTGAAGCTCACATATTCCAATATGTGCCCGATTCTTTTCAATTTTTGTTGCTGACAATTCTTTTTAAAATGTTATTCTGTTGACACTTAAAAACTATTTTCAAAAAAGTAAAGTAAAAGTAAAAAGTAAAGTGAATAGGAGCCTTGGACCCACCACGGGGTCTTGTGAAGCAGATAGTGTATAAACCATTTCAAGGCATTTCACAGGGCCCAAAATACACTACAGTACAATTTTGCTCTAGTTCAATAATTGTAAATAAGCCACAGGGCAGAAAACCGCATGTCATCATATCCTCTGACGCTTTTCTTTCAGCGGACATTGGAGATGCCATCGAAGAAGCGAAGGGAAAAGCTGCGGACGTCAACATGAAAGTAGAAAATGTCATGGGCAGGGTCAAAACCATCGACAACGAGCTGAGCAAAATAAACATTGGCCGTCCAGTTGATTCCAATTTAGAAAAAATAATAGCTGAAGTTGACCAGTCCGGTAAGTATCAGTACTTTAGCTCCCAGGTGTTTTACATTCACAGTATGAGTTATTAGGATGCAGAATTAGTCAGTAAAGCAAATACCGACAAACACACCAGTCTTTTTTTATCAAATGACTGTTATCATCTGTATGATTCTATCCTTAGACATTGTGGTGCTGTTACACTTGACTTTTGTCTTGTTTTTTTAGTGCGGCTGAGTTAAATGCAGTTTTGGCTCAGTCTGTCTTTATTTGAATTGCTCAGGCGTCGTCCACTTCACAGTCTTGCCCTGCACTCTGCTTTTTCACAGTTCAAAACCTAACCAACACCATTCCCTCCCTCCTGGACAAGTTCAGCATGATAGAGGAGATGAATTCGCAGATGGCCCCTCCCAGCAACATCTCAGAAAATATCAAAAGAATTAAGGAGCTCATTGCTATGGCCAGAAATGCAGCTGACAAGGTGATGTGTCCCCTCAGTTCCCAGCGTGATTTCATTTCCTGTGTTTCATGTTCAGTAAAGGAATAACTCCCTCAACAGCCAGGAACGCTGAATTAATACTGATTCATTCATTTATGTTGTTGATTTGTCTTTATCAGAAACTGAAACATGCACATGATTTTCTCATGCATCTGTTATAATCATCAAAAAAATCGATGCCTGGTGCTTGTCTCAGTGCAATTAAATGAATGTTTTCTCTGTTCACAGATTGTTGTTCCTATGAAGTTTGATGGCAATGCCCATGTGGAGCTACGTCCACCAAGTAGCACTGAGGACCTGAAGGCCTACACCTCCCTGTCCTTTTACCTGCAGAGACCCGTCTTTAGAGGCGATCGTCGAAGACGACAGGCTTCTGACAGTGGGGATTTGTTTGTGTTGTACTTGGGCAGTAAAGATGTGAGTGTTTCCACTGCTGTTTATTGAGAACAATGAATGAATGTCTGTTCATTAAGACATTTTAGTAGAGTGGAGTAATGGTGAACTTAATCATTACTTTACCCTTTCCCCTGTTTACTTAACCTTAATAAGTCAGTCTGATAATTGCGAAAGCCGAATGAGAGACTTTAAATAAAGAGACACTACCACAACACAGTACTGTAATGTGTAAAATGAGTATTCAAGATTCTGTTTACTGTTGTAAAACACTGACCAGAATAACTGTTACTTGTTGCAGCAGTTAGCTGTTGAGCAGCTGTTTGACTTAGGAAGGGAATGTGGGAGTATGAAAGTGGGTTTGTTCGTTTTTCCTTAGGTCTCCAAAGACTACATCGGAATGGGTCTGAAGAACAACAGGCTTTTCTGCATTTACAAACTGATGGGTGAAGAGTATGAAATAAATGTGGACACTTCAGTCACAGACTCAAAAACAGAAGAATCCATTCTCGACAAGATTGATTTTAACAGGTAATTCTTCAATGCATCATCAAAGAACAAGTCTCGATAAAAGAGGCCTGAGTGGAGACTTGATTGAGATTTCTGAAATTTTAAAGGGAGTGAGGATGATTGATTCCGAGGTCCAGTGATTTCTGTTACCTTCAGTGAGCAGAACACAGGGACCCACCTTCAAACCTTCTAAAAGCCAGTGTTAGTCCAGTACTAGAAAGCAAAAACTTAGAGTCATTAATTTTTCACCTTGTGGAGACAGAGGCTCTCTGGTATCATTCAAGTGGAAGCTTGTTGTGCTGATTGAGTCAGGCAGTGTGATCTAGAATCACCATCACTGCTGGGCCACTGCTGTACCTCTTCTCAGTATTACTGTAGCAATTATGGTGTTAAAGAGTGTTTTTCCAGAGTTCATGTGTTTTTAATTCTGTTTTTGTGTTTTTATAGAATTTACCAGGATGCCGAAGTCTATTATACCAAATTATTTACTTCGAATAATCCGGATCCTCCCAAACAGTTAACAAATGCTGGCAAGTATACCAGAAATCTTCTCAGCCTTGAACCCAGTGAAGTGGTGTTCTATGTTGGAGGATATCCAGACAGTTTCACTGTAAGTTTTTAATCATTTTTATTTATTACTAATTTTATAAGTAATGATGTTTATAAATAACATAAATCTAAGCTAATGTGAAACTGAAATGTGCTACACTGAAATTGTCAACCATCGGATGAGCATTTATGATGTAATAGTCATTACAGGCAGAATCAAAGCTCAAGGTTTAGTGAATTCATTAGATTCAGGTGCCTGTTTTTTTCCTGTTCAGAACATTTTTCAAAAGCCTGTGTATTCACCTCCTGTTGCGGTTTTCCATGATGGATCGTGTGGTGAGCGACGATCAAAGTCATCGTTAAGAGTTGCTGTCGGGAAGGAGTTGAGCCAGCAGCTTCATGTCCAGTTCTGTACCTGACCTGTATAGATATGTGCTGTGTAAAGTGTGCTGTAGGGCACCGCAGACACCAGGAAATTCCAGTTTCGAGATGTTCTGCTCATATTTCTCTCACCAGAATAGTGGAGACTATATGAAGAGCCAAAAGGGCAGATGTATTCAAAATAGATTTTTTTCAGGGTACAGTAAAGAACCAGCAGTGGCCTCCTTATTTAATATTTCATTTTTCTGGAATAAATTAGTGGCAAAAGTCAGTCCTATAATAGCTAGTAAGACGGTCTATTAATTGTTACTGGTTGAATAAAAGCCCTTTTTTTGTTTTCTGTGAGCTATCTTTAGACATCTCACCATAGCTGTTTAGGTTCTCTTGTGGAGAGGTTAAAAAATGTCATACTCCCAAGTCTTTGCAAAAACACCAAGCACCATGACACGTTGCACCATGACACGTTGGCTTTGAAAAGGCTTATGTATCAACATTATTCTATACACTCAGATACTTGCCGATATTTCTGTATTACAGCATTATGTTCTTTGCAAAATGTGGTCCTTTAAATTTGAATAATAATTTTTAATTCATAACTTGACTTTTTGAAGAACCCATTCAACATTTAGAATTGACATTTTCTTTTTCTTTCTCCCAACAGCCCCCGTCTCCCTTAAATTTGCCCAAATATCGAGGGTGTATTGAGTTTTCTAGCATGAATGATAAATTCATCAGCTTGTACAACTTCAAGAATGCTGTCAATGTGAATGTTGAAACACCGTGTAAAAGGTACTGTTAATAACAGTAATGAACACTAAAGTCTACATCATGGAGAAATGTAATGGCTATATCCAGACTCATGACTCATGTGGATTTTGTGGATGGTTCTGTTTTTCAGATATAAACGAGGATCTGAGTTTTGGTACTTTGAAGGCACTGGATATGCAAAGATTGCCATCGGCAAGAGCGTTGGGACATTTAGGCAGGACATTCTATGCAGAGCAGAAAACGGGTTACTGTTCTACATTGGAAATGAGGTACTTAACTTGATCAATTCATGATAAAAAGCTATCTTGGTATATAAAGGTATGTAAATGCATCTCTAAACAGAGCTGTATTTGGAACTTAAATTTCAAGATTGAGACACCAATGTTTTTGGTGATAATGTTTTAGAAATGCACTTATAATGGTAATATACTGCAGAACAGAGCATTGTAATTTCTGATGATGTCTGGATTCTTAACCGAATGACAGCAGATGATGAAGTAAAGCACAGAGTATTGTCAATAGCTTGAGCACAGGTTTCCACCCATGTCTTTGAAAGATACATGCTTAGTCCATAAAGAACATAAAATGAGTTAAATAAAATACTTCTAGGCATTTCACAAATCAGTCTTTGAAAGAAGGACACGTAATACTGTTGTCACCCCCTCTGCAGCCAGAGGGCGCTCCTGCTCTGTCCTGTCCCTGGTTTCCTGTGCTTTGCTGTCCTTCCTGTGTCTCTCTCTCTGGGGCTATATATTTCTGGGTCACTTATTCTGCTTCTCTCAGCATTGTCCTGAGGTCCACCTAGCATCCAGGTCACCCCACGTCCTCTACCTGAGGGCATCGGTTTCTATATGGCATTTCCTGAACAGCTGAACCCTGGCTAACCTCCATCTCGCCACTACGCATAGGGTCTATTCACTCCTGTCATTCCACGGTCTGTCCCTTCAGACATCCGTGACAACTGTACAGAAGATATCTAATAGGTTTAAAATAAATGGAGATTGTATTTTGAGCTCCAGGTCTGTTTAACATGAACATGGGATGATTTGGTTTTGATACAGGACTCCTTCTACTCTGTGAGCATTGAAAACGGTTTCATAGTATGGAGGAGTAAAGAAAGGAACGCACCATTGAAGGAAAGCAGGGGTGAAAATAAAATATTTCCTTCGGTAAGAGTGCTTTTTTTTGTCTGCTAAAATATATCTTTTACGAATTGTTTATAAAAGCAATACAATACGAACATTGTTAAATGATGTGTTACAATACAGATTTTGTGGACATATTGGTCCTTTTTAAGAATACATTGTACATCGAGATTCATGAATTTTATTAAGTGCTTACTGTATGCAGTAAGGAACACTGATAAAAATACATTGTATTGTAAAACATTCATTGTTGACGTGAGTGGTATGAACTGTGAGGTTTGGAGTTTTGCACCATTCTTCTATAAGACGGGATGTTATAATACATTTTTAATAATGCTTTTGTAAAAGCATTCCCATTTTGCATTTCACTGCTCTTGTATCGACCCATTGACTGAATGGAGTTGCCTTTCTCTGTATTGGTTTTGTAGCATTGTGATTTGGTTTTAAATTGAGAAATTGTTCCCATTTCTAAAAGCAATTCTAATAATTGGCAGGTAATTCTCTGCTCTTCCAATGTACAAATACCACGTGATGATGTGCTTCACCAGACTGGTTGTGTGTGTTTTAAGATGTGGGTTTTGATGTCAGAACACTGTCACCACAGAGTCTATTCTGTGACAAGTTGTCAAAATTTGGTAGAAAATATACATAAGGAAAACAAACATGACCTGAAGTCTTGTAGTTGGGATGCTGTTATACCATCAAATGTACAATGCTCTATTTCTAACATTTTTATGTACTTTTTTATTTTCATAGGATACCTTAAAATCTTTTAACATAATTTTGACCCGAGATAAATTTATAATTTCTGGTGCTGAAAAACTGATCTCAGACTATAATGGTATTGGAACCTACACAGAATACTACATTGGAGGAATACCAATGTCCATAAGAGAAAGGTAAGAATGTTTACCTTAATGACACAGTATCGCTAAATTTCTGTAATTTACATAATTACATAATTTTCATGTTGGGAAAATATTACACTATGAGAATGATCTGTTTCTGCTCCTTTTTTACTACGTTTGGGGCTATATTACTAGAACTTTACTTCAGGCAGTTAATCCAGACAAGGGTTTCCAACCTTTTATGTAAAGTATCCCTTTCTGTCCAAAAATGCCATCTGAAGTAAGAAAGCAAAATGAAAGGGCCTATCCCGGCAAGCAACCGGCACAAGGTAATCTGACAGTTCATCCTTGGCTTTAGCTCCTGGTCATCGCCATCTCCTTGCCCTCTCGGCGCTCCATTTATCTTGTCTGGAGCAGGAAGCACAGCTGATGCCTCCTTCAGTGATTGCTAGTGTAATGTCAAACTGCATGTGATCTGCATGCTGCCATCATGGGCAGCGGGAGGCTTAGAAAAAAATACATGTTTCACGGGGAAGGTAATACCCCTATGGGACTCAGCCTTACGCGGTGTCACAGTGCCACTATGCCTTTGGACTGTGGGAGGAAACCAGAGCACCCGGAGGAGACCCACATGAATATGGGGAGAACATGCAAACTCCACCCCAGAATTTGAATCCAGGGCCTCACCGCTTCAAGTCAGCAATGCTGACCACTGTGCCACCATTACACCCATTGTCATATGCAGTTATGCATTTAAATTATTAAATATTATGTCTAAAAATATTCTAAACATTTTTTTTTCATTAACATTGTGGACTTGTTACAGCTTTCAGCTTCAATATATATAAATATCTTCAATGAAGTACGTCATTGAAATATTATTTTTATGGCCCTTATTTCACTGGTCCCCTATATTTGGCTCTTATTCTCTCCCCCAGTCTGATTTTTTCATTATACTTCCTTTGTTCCCCAGCAAAAATATTACCACTCCGCCTCTGAAAGGATGCCTAAAAAATATTCAGAGCCCAGAAGGCAATGCTCAGTTTGAGGAATCTGTGGGTGTGAGTCCGGGATGTCCTAATGACTTCTTGGTAAGTGTTTGTTTAAAATGAAAATTTCTTTGTGACCTCTATGTTAGCATGTTTTCTCTTAAATTAAAATAGGGTTTAAGTACGAATAGCATACTGTACTTACTGAATTGTAAGAGCTTATACTATTATATAATTCTTCCTACTTCTTATAGTAGCTCAGTTTGAAACCAACATAAAATATGAATATTTCATGAGTTATAAATGATTTAAACCTATTTTTGCAGAACCAGAATTGAGTGTACTCTTTAACTCATCACAAAGATGAGTTTGTAATAAAACCAGGTCATTTTTCAGTATCAGTATGAGTTTGGTTATATTTTAATCTTCCTGTGTTTTCATTCTGCTCTGTGATTTGTGAACAACAATAAGACCAGACTGCTACCAAAATACTTATTGGTTTTAGAGTACTATATAGGTCAAAACACACATGATGCTCGGGTTGGCTTTTTGTGACCAAGGGGGTCAAAGGATGGGGGGTGGGTTCAGACCCCAGGTCTGGTCACTGCTGTTGTACTTCTAAACAAGATACTTCAGATTGTTCCACAAATGTCCAGCTGTTGAAATAGATGCAAATGCAGGGCATGTGGGATTGAAGCATGTGAGAAAGAATGAATAATAATTAATAATAACAGATATAATCTCGGTAGTCTTATTGGTTCCTGAAAGGAGGCTCTTGTTTATTGACCATCTTTGTCTTCCTCTTAGATTTCACGCGATGCAACTTTCAGTCTGGGCAGCTCTCTGACGACTTCGGCGGACAGCTTTGACCTGGGTAAAGATGTCATGGTGGCAATGGGCTTCCGGACCACAGAGAAGACGGGTCTCCTTCTTCACAACATCCAGGCAGTAGGTTTCTTTTACAGCTGCTTTCTTCTTCTGCTTTCTTCTGCTGTAAGAAACTAACTGGCAATTCCAGAAAAAAATAACAAAGTGCAGAGAAGACACCATATACAAAGAGGTAATGGGGAAAAGGCAAGATAATTAATTCTTCTTCAGTGTAATGCCCGGATTCACTCATCTTTTTTGTCACTGAGGAGATTGCTTCTTCTCTTTTATAATGTACCACAGGCACTGATGAGGCAGCTGTCCGTAACGGCAGTCCCGAGTGTCCTCATTTTATCAGGAAAACTTTACAGTTAGAGGGTGTGAGTTGCCTGATCAATAACTTAATGTATTTGTATTCATCAGTATATTTCTCCTGAAGTTATTTTCTTCTATTCATTGTTAAATCTGGAAACAGCTTGCATAGAAAAACTTGGAACTGCAGTCAGGTTCTAAATGATGACGTACAGTACACACATATATTGTATACAGTTTATCTGTGTGTCTCTCCCCAAGTCCCTGTCCCTGTCCTGCACTCAGCCTTGACGTGCTGCAGCTCCAGTGTACGCCAACGACAATATCAACTACAAAAGCAGTGCTGCAACAAACAGATGTGTTCTAGCAGCGTCCACGTTTGTGCCCGTGGCTTCAAGAGCTTGAGTCAAAACTATTTCAGCTGTGCCCGGGACGAACCAACTTTGCTAGCAGAGCCTGTAAAGCATGAGCTAAAGTAATTGGGCTGGAAAATGACCATGAACAGCGACGGCTGAATAACGCAGCTACTGTACATTGTGTAGTGTACAGCTGAGTATCACAATACAGTACCTTTATGTTGTTTTTACCACGGGGATATTAAAACCAGATTAGCCCATTGCTCCTGCAAGCGGCAGAAAGAAATGTGGAAAAGTGTATTCTAGGAATACTGTAATAAAACTGGACAGGAACAGAAGCTGGCAGATGAGAGAACAAACATGACATTATTGAAAAAGTGAAAAAAAGGATGATTCACTACTAGAGTAATGTTGTTTTTTTCCATCGTTAGGATACTGGGATGGAACTTTCACTGGATAATGGCTTTGTGGTCTTTAAATTCAAGGATAAAGTATGGAAGTCAAACTATAAGTATGAAGATGGAAAATGGCACTACCTAACAGCAGCAAAGACCAGCCAAAGGTTTGTACAGTACATCAGTACACCAGGAATTTTATTTCAAAACAGTATCAGACAGTACAAGCACTGAGGCAATGCTTAAGATGTTTTCACAAATCAGAAACTCACCTCTTTTAACCCAAACTCTCAACATAATCCAAAAACTTAGATATAATTAATAATAATGAGATTAATGCAGTACAATACCTTTCATCCCACAGCACTTTGTACATGCTCATTTAATCTAGCTCTGGAGTACCCATCCTGGGTGACACATAGCAACTGTAATACACCAGCAGGCAAACTCAGCATAGTCACAAGTGCAAGTCAAAACATGAGAAATGACCATGGGGGAATTTTAGACAGATTATCCAAACCCAATTGTAGTTTAACCGAGACGCCAGTGTTACCACCTCTAGTCTTTCAGAGAGTGTCATGAGATCTTAATGAACAATAATCAGAATCCTGTTACTGGTGATACTGGTGCTTTGTAAATTCTAACCAAGATGAAAGATCGCCACCTTCCTGTCCCTCTATATCATTAAAAAATAAAGACACCTGGTTTTCCTTTGAGGTTTCCCATTCCAGTACTAATGCTAAGTCTGAGAAGGTCAGGCACAAAATAAGCCAGTTAAAGTTACAAATCCTACCAGGAATAAAAGATAGTACATTCTACAGAGGTGCGTGACTCTTACAATGGCCTTGGTCCTACTGTACTTTTCCCATTTGTTTCTCATACATAATTGCTACTCATTTCCAGAAGTTGTGTTTTTCATTCAAATTTGTTTATTCTACTGCTAGAATAATAGATGCACTTTATTGCACTAGGAAATATTTTTTTTTTCTTAATTATTCCTCAGCATCACACTGCGCATTGATGAAGAAGATGAAGGAAGAGATCAGCCCTCATCCTCACTAGTTACGAGCATGAATACACCCAATATTATTCTGGGCAAAGACACATTTGAAGGTTGTCTTACCAATGTTTATATGAGAAGGTAATTTTGCACTAGCTACTAAAGTTTTTATTAGAAGCCCACTTTTTTAAATTTGAAGACACTTGACCTTAAACTTTTTTTACCCTGTGTTAGAAAAAAGCTCTAATTTTAGGGGTTGTATGCAATCCTTTGGGACTTGCTGTGGGACACTAATCTTATCTACCAACAACGCTTTTATACATTTTAAGTATAGAAAGTATTTAACTTTCAGGACATACATTTATCATACTACTTAAAGTTTTGTTTTGAGGGTGGCAGTAACTTATACACATGAGTTAGATACAGGACATTTTGTATGTTAAATGTAATGTATAAGTATTGTATATGTTTTAGACAGATTAACTAGATGATATTTTTTCCTTCTAATACATTTAAAGATAATAAAGCCACCATTGTTAATCTAACAAGCTATTCCTTAAGCTATGAGAAACTTATTCCTTTATGGTTTCATTCCAGGCCAGTCCTCTACAAGCCGGAGGACTTGAGCAGATTCAGCTCAACGGGAAACGTGTCTGTGGGATCTTGCAGTGCTGAGAAACCACCCCTCTCAATGATGGCCAGAACCAGCCTCAGCCGCTCCTCTTTAAGGAGGGTGGGTATAAGAAGTTTTGGTTTCCTTGAGAGTTTGAAAGCAACAGCCTAAGCGGAAAACTACTATAGGAACTCCTTAAAATCACAAAGGTCCTTAATAACAAGCTTGTCCCTCAACATGGCGTTTTGTTTCAGTGGTGTGGTTTATGAATTACTCTCCTGGGAGTAGGGGCCACAGGCGGCATTGACATTAGAATACTTTTACAAGGGGAACTGCTGCAGCTCGAAGCTAAGGCAGGGGGCATGGGAGTTTGGAACAAGCTATCCGCTGTGTGGTTGAAGCCAACACATTGGCTTCTGTCAAGAAAATGCTAGATGAGATCTTTAGGTCAGTAAGCTGCTAACAGCTGAATGGGCTTGATGAGTCAAGTGGCTCGACTTCTAAACCTTTCCTGTGCAGAAGACAATGTACAGTAGTTTCAAGTGATAATTAGATCCCAAACAGTTTGTATTAATAAATGGTTTCTTCAATGTGTGTTTCTTTATGTGAGTCTTTAATTTCCATCTTAAACTTTATCTTAGTATTGGTAAGCATTATTTCTCCAAGGAAATTCACGAAGGAATTTATAAAACACAATTTCACACAGGGTTAAAGATTTAATTTTACATTTTTGTCTATACAGTTTTATATGGGCATATACTGTATAGCTGATGTATTCAGTCAGAATGAACAATATTTTGTCAAACCATATATTTTAAAAATAATTTTGTTGAGTTATTCCAATATTTATGTTCTTATACTGCTTTATTTTCAGAGATGAAGAGAAGGAATTGGATGTTCAAAACGATGAAAAAGTGAACTGTAATGGACTTGTCATTATCGCTTCTTCATTGTGCTTTGTCAAAAAGTAACACTTTCAACCAGCAACCAACTTTGTGTTATATTTGAAACAATTAAGATCACCAATAACGTTTTTAGCACAAATTATAAAGATGGTAAAAGAGTAATTGTGTTTATTTTGGTACAATGGTACCAAACAGTACAAGCACTAGTATATACTGTAATTATTCTGCTTTTTCTGGTTCACAACAGCTTGTGTTAAAACAACAAAAAAAACATCACCGACATTAACATATTGTCTAAAAATGAAATAAATGTCGACATCTGTTAAATTCACTGTGCTGTACTCCATTATGCATTATCATTTTAAAATAAATGAGTCATTTATTACTCAATAAATTTGCATTGTACAATCATGTTTTAGATCTGTTTTGCATTCTAGTGACTAAACCCTTTCTTCTCTTTAACCCCTTTCGGCCTGAATTTTTATTTTGGGGTAAAAGTAAGGTCAAAAGTACTCATATATTGTAGTCATGTTTATAGAGAATAATAACGTTTTAAATTGTTTTTAATTGTTGTACATCAACAACAGTCCCATCATGTTTCTCTTATGTTATATATTATTAGATACATAAAATGATCAGTTTAAAACATTTTAAAGAATGATGAGCCAGACACACAGAATAATGAAAGACTGAGCTACCAACTGTCTCTCAAGAGTTCAGTGAAATGTGCAGTGAAACTTTAAGAACATTTTTTTCATTCACAGAGGATTAAAAAAGCAAAATAATGCTGAGATTGAATTGTCTTAGTGGCACATAATTCTCGTCTGTCTCTTTGGGAACTATATCTCTCTGTCCAGGGTCCGCCATGATTCTGTTGTCTGGTGCTTTCTGACGTGACCTGGTAGTTCCACAGGCTGGAGCCCAGATTCATACAGGCTTTCAGCTGACAGTCCATGAAGGTTTAACAGAGGTTTAAAACTACACCACACAATTGAAATACCTCTTCTCTTTAGAACAGTATCTGATGGAATAAATAAAATCATATTAACTGTGAGATCTGTCACACCTCTTATTGCTGTGGGGAGGATTCTCATAAATGATGAGAGACTTGCTTAGGTTTCTTTTAAAAGAACAGCGCTAGACAGGAATGAAAGAAGCTGAATTGGTATCCTCTACACCAGCCATCCATATTACACATTAAAACTCCATTCTTAGATTTTCTTTTGTGCTTGTTTTACTACAAAGTGTGTATTTTATTATTTATTAATCTGCCAAGATTTCTAAGAAATATTGTTTGGTGATGATTATACACTGTTCTTTAGAAATTGTTTTGTGTTCATTAAAAATATATTGAACTACCTCATAGAGATGTTATATTTTTAAAGAAATTAAGTAGTTTAAAAGGTGTTTAAACACCTGCATGCAGGAAATTTTTACAAATCCAAACTTATTTCTTTTAATTCAACATGCAAACTGAGGGGCCCCTAGACCATTTATTTCTAAATAATCAAGCTAACAACAGACAGCTAGCTTTTAGCTACTCAACAGTTATTTTAATAATGCTCTCGGTGGTGGCTACATGGTCTCACTGCTCATTTCTCTCCAGTGTAGGTGTACTCAAATGAGATCTTTTTGATCTTTTTATAAAGAGTACCTAAAATCTTCCCACAAGAAGAAGGCTCAAAAAGAGCTCCCCAAAGAACTACAGCACATACAGTAAAATGTCATTGCCAATGTAAAAGCAGTTTTTCAGCAAAGATGTTCAAATGTTCCTATTCCTGACAGGTTATAGTGCACCACGCTTTAAAACCCCATTTGTGTGTTTGTATATCTGGGTGTTTAAATACCCAAACAGCCGGAACCATTAGGCACTACCTGGGCATTGTGACTCTAGTGTTATGAGTCAAATATCAAAGTAACAGATTGCTTATAGTATGATATTCCCATTTGTCCTTCACACCAGCTTCTTGTTTATTTAAATTATATACCTTCCACTTTACTTTATTCTGATTTTTTCACTTTTCCTATATGTCCTGTCTAGCTAGTGCAGAAGTGTTCAGATAAAACATTTTCAAGCCACTTTCTGAACCATATAGTGCTGAAAGGCTTCAAGCCATTTGACAGTGGATAATACTTCCAATGTTTTGTGAGAATAGAATGGCTTTATGCAAGGGTTATAGTACTATACTATGATGAAAATAAAATTTGGTAAGGGCAAAAAATGCAAACATCTTCTCATAGCAAAGAAGTAGAAGGCCTTTGATTTATACAACCATAGTCGAATCCTAAAACGAAATGAACGTGTAATTTTTATAAATCAAATGACAGTTTTTTAAAAATGAAACAGAAGCAGAACTGCAGGTCAGTTGACTGATCACAAGCTTTTTAAAACCTGGATCCATGAATGAAGCAAATCTGACTAGCGCTTGATTTAGCCGATTCTCCAAGTATCTATTAGTCCGCTTCCAGTTTCAAAGGCTCCCTGTGGTCCCTGAGTTCATGGTGGAGAACCAAGGCTGTAGAAATTGCAGCATCTTTTGCTTCGAGGAATCCACATGAGTTTTGGATGGTATGAATGCTGTATAGATGTGTAAAATTGCATGAAAAAAACATCAGTGTCGGTATGTATTAATTTCAGTTCAGCTGCATAACGCAGGATAATCTGTAATTGTACAGTTTTTACCAATCGGATTCTGGCTCAGGCAATACTTGCACTCCTGATCCTTTAAACACCATCTTTGGAAGCAATACCAGCACGTGGGCAAAATAAGTTTTGAAACTGAGTGTCTTTCTGTTTTAGCACAAATGCTTTCATGTTCAGAAAACTAAAGTGCACTGAATAAATGTCACATAGTGAATACTTACGGCATCTTCTATGAAATGTAAAGGATTTTAAAAAAATCATTCAGTGTTTGGAAAAAGTTTTCATTTTATTATTGACGCTTGATTTGCAGAAAGTTTGTTTGAAATCTTGGCTGTGGTACTGTACTTTGCATTAGGCAGATAAAACAGATTCCTGACCATAATGTGAAACTACTGTAGTAAACACATTTTTTACATTAGCATTAAAACAATCATGTAAAATTACAGCATTACATCCATTTATAAGTAGATGGAAAGTACAAAGATTTCATTTTAATTCCCCTAATATCAGGGGCCATTATGCTCCAGTGGAAGATGCAAAATGTATAAATGCAAATGAAATAATGAAGTATCATATTTAGTGAATTTGCAATGTAATTTGAAGAATATTTTCAGTGACATTTGTTGCCATGTACAGTACTTGCATTTATATTTATGTTTATGGAGGTGGTATGATAAGGCTTTTTGCAAATGAGAAATAGGTACAGTAGCACCACACCCCTGATCCTGCAGGGCTGGTGTGTCTGCAGGGTTCTGGGTTCCTTTAGGGCTTCAGTACTTGAAGAGTTGGAAAAGCTGTTAAATTCTTGCCAAACAAGCTGATTTATGCTGATTAAAGACGTTAGAAAGAAGCCCTGCAGAGACACCAGCCCACTGGGAAACACCCTGGACTTCCCTGCTGCAGGGAGTACAGTGCATATATTAGTGGTAGACGGCTCCAGTCCTGGAAGGCTACAACTGAGCGTTTACTGTATGTGATCACCCATTCTTTGGATCATAATAAAAAAAATTTAATTGTTTAAGAATCACAATACAATGTTGCTGTGTCAAACAGACTCATATGAAACCTGACCCACCTGAGTAAGGCTTCTCAGCCGAAGGCTTGTTATTGTATCTTTTTACCTTTCAGCAAAGAATTAACCTGTACAGGTTCCTTTGTAGCTCAAAGGCTGATGCAACCCTCAATTTGAACATTATTTCCACACAGCAAAATGGTCTATCCGTGGGGGAAAAAAATGAACCGGCTTTCATTTACTTTAAGAGACTGCACGCTTGTGCAAGCAGCAGCGCCTCCAAGCTAAAAACATGTTCTCTTCTTTATTGCAAAGGGGAATGAAGTGAAAGAGGAGGCAATGGAGCTCGAAAGAGTGCAAAACACGTCTGGGTGCCGGCTGCCAGACCGTGTCAGAAACGCCTTCCAGCTCGGCGAGTCACATGGCCGACTGGAGTATAACGTCACTCCTCAGATATTTCAGGACAGGTATGGAATTCCCTTTTAATCTTTCTTTGTCTTGTCGTCATCGCCATCCTTTGTGTGAGCAGTAAAGCCTTTCTGTGATGACAGAATAACTGGGATTCAGCTCTGAAAAAATGTCACCTTGCACATTGGGGCTGATTTAAGAACATTCAGATGTTTTACAGAAAAAAGGAAAATGTATTTCAGTATGGCTATAATAAGTACCAGTTCTGAAACAATGAAGTTTATTTCTAAAGCATTTCTCTTGAAAAAGCTCATGGGTGTGGGCTTTACATAATGAAAGAAAAAAGATTACAGACAATAAGTGTATATGCAATAACAGTACAAAAACAGCACAAATGATACATTTTAAAAATTCAATCATAAACAGTATTGTTTTAGGGAAGGGTGGCAGACCGGTATCTGTTCAGTACAGATTATAAACAGAATCAGTTTAACACTGAAGTTTAATTTTATCCATGTTTCTTTGAAATACCAGCATAAAAGCATTGCATTTGTGAAGAAACATAAAGTGATCAAGTTTCAACAATAACTGGATAATTAAACCTACTAAAAATAGTAACTTTAATGTCCACCCAAATACTTAAGATAATCAGCTCAAGCTAGATCAGCAAATCAAAGGCAGTACTCTCATGTAGTAATACAAAACAGTTGGGGAACAAGAGTCATCAGTCATCAGTAACTGCCCAGCCTGGCTATGGTCTCTAAACAGTGTTTTTGGCATAGGAATTTGGAATAGGATTCTCCCTTGGTCTCATGTCTCATCACCATCATTTAATGCTCCTGGAAAAAAGTTTTAGCAGTAATGTCAAACCCTTATACAAGTTCTGCAACCATCCTTGATTTAGTCATAAAACAACAACAAGCACTCATGATTTTCAGATAAGTGATTGTTTCTAGACGGGCTGCAACTAGGGTGGGAGCGGCGAGGGCACAAGCCCTAGAACCCGAATCCGTTACAATAACAAAAGGACAGACAATGAAATATGGCTATTTCGAAGTCACAAATGTGAGATATAAAGTTGGAATTCTGAGTTACTAAGTTGGAATTCTGAGTTACTAAGTCGCAATTCTGACTTACTAAGTCGCAATTCTGACTTACTAAGTCGCAATTCTGACTTACTAAGTCGCAAATCTGACTTACTAAGTCGCAAATCTGAGATGCTAAGTCGCAATTCTGAGATGCTAAGTCGGCATTCTGAGATACCATAGCGCGTTTTTTTTTTTTACTCCCTGGCGGAAACGGGCTTCCATAGTAATGAGTAACATGCTCTACTGGCACTGCAAACATTTGCACTGTATAAGTTCCAAATTCATTCTAATTTCATGCGTCCCTCACTGGGGAGGGACGCATGAAATTAGAATGAATTTGGAACTTATACAGTTAGTAGCTTTAATGAACACATACTGTACCTGTAACCGTCACACTCACAGGAAATGGAACGTTAGTGGTTCATACCTATTCAATCAAATGTCTACGTATCAAGAAAGAATACTTTCTGTCAGGAGTGTGGAGTGCCTTAAGACAGTACTTAAGAAAACCACAGAGCCCATTCTAAAATGTTCCTATACAGATAAGGTCAGTTCTCAACTAGGCGCATTCCCAGGCTGCTTGAGAAGTGCTGAGAAAGGAAAGAGCAAATTTTGCACTAGAGTTCTAGGAGCTTGGAGGAGTGTGCCTGCGAAACCAGAAACCTGATCAGCGAACGGTTTCCTTTCTAGGTCTCATATCTCACTCGACATCCGAACAAAGTCCCAGGAAGGCTTGATCTTTTACGCTGCTAATAAATTCGGGACCTCACATGTGGCTCTCTACATAAACAATGGACGGATTAAGCTTTCATTGAGTTCTCCTGGAAAGAAACGGAAAATATTTAATAAAGAAAAATACAACGATGGCAAATGGCACACAGTGAGTCCTTTATTTTATTTCTTGTCTTGGATACTCCCCTTTATATGGTGTGTTTATAGTCTTTATGACAAGCATTTGACACATCATGGTTAACAAGTTTATGATGGTTTGGTAAGTACTGTGTGTAGTTCCATGTCAGTAATAAAATCCAAATAACTGCTTTTATAAATATGTGTTTTATGTTACATATTACAAATTTATAACTCACAAACTGGAGCTTCATTTTGTTTGAAATTTAGGGCTACTTTTATAATATTTTATTTATAGAAAAAGCAAGTAGTCTTCATTACTAAGCATTTCCAGAGCAACCCTAACAGCACACGGTTGGCTATTTTTAAATTGCCAAGCTTTATGATCTATAGAACCATGTATTTGAATAGAAATTAACAAGGATGTCATGGGTTGCACAGTGGCATGTTGGTTAACATTGCTGCCTCACAGCACTGGAGCCCTGGGTTAATTTCCCAACCCTGGGGTGCTGTCTGTGTGGAGTTTGTATGTTCTCCCTGTGTTTGTGTCAGTTTCCTTTGGGTGCTCCGGTTTTCTCCCACAGTTCAAAGACGTGCTGGTGAGTTAATTGGTGTCAGTGTTTGTATCTGTATCCGTGCATCTGTCCCGTAGTGTACTATAATCTACTGCAAAGGTGTCCCATCCCGTCCAGGGTGTACCCTGGCTTGCACCTTTTGCTTGCTGGGATAGACTCCAGTTAGAAATATCGCTATGACTGTATTCCATCGCTTGAAAAGGGACAGAATTCTTATTACTGCTGTACAAATGTTCTGTAGGTCATGTTCAGTTGGGAAAAACGCAGCTTCCGCCTTGTCGTTGACGGCCTCCGCGCACAGGATGGCGACTTCACCCAAGTCAGCTCTCTCCAGTTGCAGCCACCAATTTATCTGGGAAACGTTCCTGCCTTAAGTGCCAGCTCAAAACTCCAGGTAATGTCCTGAGCCCAGGGCGAGCAGGGCAAATTTCAGCTCGTGTTAAAGTCGTTCTGCAAGGAATGCTTCTGAATTTAAATGCTTATTGCTTCTGAATTTAATTTTGTTGCTGATGAAGAACGGAAAAGTGATTTAAAGGAGATGTGTCACGCAGATACTGAGTTATTTTATATTAGTCAGAATGTTCTTCTGAAAGGTTAAATCTACATTGAGCATTGCAGGACATTTTAAAAAACAAGTTATTACAAAATACATTTAAATGTTATAAAACACATCTCAGGTTGTGTTTTGCAATGCAGGATCCCTTTTGTTCATTAAACTGATTTTAATTTCTTTTCTGCATCAGATCCTTCCTAAAAATAGTGTCGTTGGGTGTATCAGGAATTTCAAACTGAATGATCGACCAATGGCGGAGCCCACTGACAACTATGGAGTCCCTCCTTGTTTTGAGGGGAACATGGAAAGTGGGGCCTACTTCTCAGGAAATGGAGGATATGTTGTTTTAGGTACCTGATTTTCATTTTCACGGTGAAAACGTCAAGACAATTGTGTAAAAAACAGACGACATCATGTGTGAAAAGCATTTGCTTCCTTTAGTGAAATTCAACAGTCCAAGAAAACTGATGCTAGTCCAAGAAATGACCTACAGTAGTTTGTATATCTGTCTGCATTTCCTGACTTTTTGTGGAAGGGGCTGCCTGCATTTACTAAAGTTTTTAATGGAAGGAGTCTGAACATCTTTATTAGTTCAATCTGATTTGAGAAGGATGGAAGCTTGAAAAATCTGAACAACAAGCCAGCATCTTGTTGCACAATTTACATTTTGTGCTTCTGGAGGGCTTCACCAAATATAATATAGGCACAGTTGTCTATAATTGTTTCACTGATGACACAACTTTTGTTAACTTTAATACAACTCTTGAAGTAGACCTTCTGCCTGCTGGGGTAACAGCAGAATTTGTGTGTGTTTTGGAAGCAAGCCGACCCACTGTGATGGTGGGTGGGAAGTAGTAATGAGCTGCTCTACCTATTTAGTTAATTGTAATTATTTATTAGTTATTACTAAAATCTTAGCTATTAATGGGATCTGACAAATATCTGTTTTGAGCAAGCTGAGGAAATATTTGACACTTTAACTTCAATGCAAAGTTTGTTTTAGATACATGCAGTATATTCAACTTTTGACTTACTACAAACAGGTCCAGTTAATTCTAAATTCTTTTTTTGGGTGCGGAATATATAGACTGAATTTATAGACACAAAGTCTGAAATTGTGTGAAATTGTATATACAGTACGTGTATGGGCAAAGACATAAAGCCAATGTGTACAAACAGCTCTTTTCCACAATATCTTTCTGCGGTGTAATCCCACAGTTAACGGTACCTCCTAATATGTCTATTATTTTTCAGACAAATCCTTTGTTGTTGGTGTAAATTTCGAGCTTGTGTTTGAGATTCACCCAAGAAACCTGACCGGTGTCCTTTTCCACGTCAGTGGTCAGAGTGGACATCACCTGAGTTTATTTATCAAAAAGGGAGAGGTAAGAATGGAAATATTCAGTCTTACATTTCACAGCGGTAGATCTGCTGGGTGCAACATGGATTTGTTTTCATAAAGCAGTAATACAGCTCTACCAGACACAGAGAAGGCCTTCAATTAAATATTCAGTTGCAGAGTATATATTTTAGACATCTGTATCGTATTTAGCACAAAGCCTACATTTCTGTCGGCACAGACAGTTTACTTTGAACATGTTCTATTTTACTCTCACTCCTCCTCCCTCCCAACCTTTGTTCTCCCGCTACTTTACCTTTGCCTACTGCCCTGTCTCTCTCACACCTGAAGATGGCTCCGCGGCCGAAACGTTGTGTTCTCTTTCTTCTTTTTTTCAGCATGGAATAAACCTATTACATGTTCTATTTTATATTGTTGTTTTTGTCACCCTTGGGTTTTCATATGAATAATCAGCCTGCTGTGAATGTTCTTGTCAGGTCATTGTGCAGGTTAACAATGGAGCAGGTGACTTCAGGGTTGCTGTAACTCCACAACCCACTTTTTGTGATGGAGCTTTTCACCGTATAGCAGGTACACACATTCAGATTCACAAAATATTCTCTTTTGCTCTGTTACTGGATTTGTAGAACTGTTCTAAAAAATGCCAGTTTTACAGAAACTGAAAAACATTAATGTTGGTGTTTATGAGCACAGCTCTAAAATAATGTCTGAGCAGATTTCAGGGACAACTTGAGTAGTTCATGTTTTTCTCTTAACGTAAGGTCATAAGATGATATACCCTCCAAACCTGGAGATTTTTATTCAGACTGATGGGCTGGTTACTTTAATTAAGGTGATATACTGCCAGTCCTCTTTTGTTTGGAATTAATTTGCAAACAAGTTGATTGTAAGCTCAAAGATGTTACTTATGTTCCCTTAGTAATTAAAAGAAACAATGTTGTGCAACTGGATGTGGACACAGAGGGTCGGTATACAGTGGGACCATCATCTTCGTATACAACACAGACCAGAGACCCTCTTTATGTTGGCGGCATCCCAGGTAAAGTGCCAGCAGAGCAGCTTGATGATGGAGCTGCACAGTGTCCGTCACTGACAGTGCTAACAACCAGTATTTTACTAGCTTGTTAGGCCCATCTCGCACAGGCCAAGTACTAGAGGGCCACCAGGATTGACATATTTCCTTGTACGTTTCTGCATTTTCTTTTTGAGTGTCTAAAAGAGATACAGTTCTCTTCACTGCTGAATAGTTTTTAATGGAACATCTGGCAACAGCTGGATCAAAAAACATCCTTGCAGACTTAATGTCCAGGATAGTATTGATCTTTATTTATCCCTTCAGGTGTATTTAGTAAATAGTTTAAGGATGTTTTTTTAATGCAGAAGCTCTGTAAAATTTTCTTTTTTTCTTATTTACAAGATTGTCATTTGAACTAAAACCGTAGTAAACCACCCCACGTAATTTCACTGTGAAAAAAAAAATATAGCTGCCACCATCAGCAGGTCTTGCATTTTATTTCTGAGCAGTTTTTAATTTGGAACGCTCATGTGATTCTCTTACTGGAATTAGTGAAGCTGGTAAAAATGAATGAAAGTATCCAAGCCATTCTAATGCTTAAAGCTTAAACACCTGAAGGTTGGCGACTATTTCTATGCCGCAGTGTGGCACAGATGGGCACCCTGCTGTCTGCTGTACCCTCCACAGCGTTGAACGTGCAGTGCGAGAGTCTCATCACACACACACACATGCCATTCCCATCGCATTGTGAGCGGTGCTTGTTTTTTCTATCCTCCATAGATCCCTCGCAGCGTCCAGAGCTCCCTGTCAGCGCCAGTTTTGTTGGCTGCCTGCAGAATGTGCGCATCAACGGGGACCTGGCTTCATTTTCCAAAGCAGTGGAAGTCTACGGCCCTGTCAGTCTCCGCTCCTGTCCGGCGAGCTAGAGAGAGAGCGCTTAAAAGGGAGGCCTGGCCACGAAGTGCAGTTCCTGGCAGGGATATAAACAAGGCTGTAGTTCTGTAGCTCCATTTGTTTTTAACGATAAGTACTGTAAGTCTAAGTGTTAGGCCTTTTATCTACTTTTTATTATTTGGAGATAAGTTATTATTATCCATCGGTCTGTGCTGTACTGTAGCGTACAGCTTTCTGGAATACTATAGGGATTGATACCTGTCAGTCTCTACTGTAAGAAACTAATTCACTAACATGCTACCACGCACAGTGTAGTAGGTATTTGCCCTTAAAAGACTCTGTTTAAACTCCTCCGTGTCTGTTTTAAAGGGGCCAAGTCTACAGTAAATCAAACACACGCTTTCCATATAAGTTCTTCCTTTTCAGGGAGGTACCTGTCATTCTCCCTTCCTCCTGGCACCTCTGTCAGATTGTAAGGAAATGGGTAGTTTCACTCTGGATAGATAATACAGGAAAATAAACACCAGCACGTTTTTTTTGAGTGGCAAGAAACAAAAATCTCTCTCTCTTTCTTCAGTCTTGGTCCTTTATTATTCAGCATTTAATTTGGGAGCTTGACATTTTAAGACAGCTCTCTGAACAATAAACTATAAACATTATATCCAGAAATGTTTCCATATTGCATTATATGTAATTCATAAGGTCAATGCTTTGGCTAAAATAAACCCCAAACTTTGTACTTCTCAATCCTGAATGAACTCGTAGCTGACTGTGGTGGGTGTCCTACGTCTCTGTCAGACTTTTTGACATGAGCCAAGCGATTAAGAAGAGAGGCTCGGATTCCCCCTATAAAAACATCAAACGCTGTAGCTGCGACTACAAATACCATTGGTGACCACTAGAGGGCTCTTGCTGAAGTAGCAGAGAAACAGTTCGAATATCGTGTTCTAAGACAACGTACACTTTTCCAATGAAGAAGACATCATTTACAGGTATTTACAGTGACAGGTGCCTCGAAGCTTAATATCTTATGGGGAAAACAGAATATGGTTTCGAAAAAAAAGCATTACCGTAGTAAAATCATTGTTAGAACTGCTATGTATTTCAGAAAAAGTCATTGTAGTAGGTATTTTTAGTGAGAATAAATACTGTGAACGTAAAATATCCTCCCCCCCGTAATCCAATTACTACACGTGCCGATAAATTAGATGATTATTACGGTATTATTCTTTCTCTTGTATTGGCGTTCAGTTTTTTGTATTCCTAGTAGTCTGCATCTTTTTAAAAAACTTTTTAATGTCTTGTTTTTATACGGAGCCCGGGAGGGGCCTTCAGTAAGAAAAATATATATCGAGGGAACGATTTACAATTCGTGCACACGAAATAACGAAATCGTTCCCTTGGTTTTCTTTAACTCGTGCGCACAAAATAACGTTTTCTAACTCATCTGTGCAGTAGCTACAATGTCCTAATAACTTATATCCAAACCCAAATAAACTAAATAAGCTCATCTCTATCCATTATCCTAATCTACAGCAGTGTCAGTTAGGCTTTATTGTACCAATATAAAATACACTGTAACGTGTTAACAAGCGTTTGATAGCGTTGTTGTCAGGAGCCGGGAATAATGCTGGCGTTTTGGAAAATTTCTATGTGCGTGCGACTACCGTGACACAAAGAAAATGAAGGAAAGAGTTAGAAAACATTATTTCGTGTGCACTAATTAAAACGAGGGAACAATTTAGTTATTTTGTGCCTATCCCTCGATATAACTTTTTTGTGCACACGAATTGTAAATCGTTCCCTCGATATAACTTTATTTTTTCCTACCGATGGCCCCTCCTGGGCTCCGTATTTTTATGACTTTAATAAATGCAGCGCTGCCGTGCTCTTATACAGTTCATTACAGCACAGTGATAACAGAGAGGACCACAAAGAAAATGCAGTGGACGGCTCGCCTACAGGGCTGGAGGTGAAAGAGGTTCACTCCCTTCCCCTCTCAACCAGCTCTCTCTCTCCTGCTCCTGCGGGGCGTCTCTGTCTCTCGCTTCTCATCCCTGTTGTTATCCTTGTACGGCACACGAGAACCGAGTCTGTGAAAACTTAGGGGCCCATGGAGACTTATATCTCACATGACACCCATAGCTGTACAGTCACAGGCATTACAGAAAGCGGTCACAGGTGAAATGGGGAAGGCAGAACCCTGAATATTGATGCTTTACTGTACATGAAGGAGCCATGGCAGCTCAGAAGGGGCAAGCGATGGAGCTTGCTTTAATTCCTGCCAGACTGCTCCCAGGTCCATTCATCCTGCTTTCCAAGTGAGAACCGGGGGTTAATCCTTCTGGGGGTAACAGGCCGGCCGGAGTGTGATGCTGACCACATCGCCCCCACCCCCAGTGTTGGATAGTTGAGAAAAATGGTGGCCCTTGCCCCCCATTCCCCATGAGCCTTTATGGCCTGAAAAAGGACCTACTGTTCCTGCTGTACGTGAAATTGTCAGATCTTGGAAACGCTTCTGCATTACATTTGTGGGAACGTGCTCAATCCCAGCCAAGCAGAGAAATCTTTATTATGTAAAATTAGCAGTTGCCTAGGGATTCACAACCCAGTGAAACAGCCGGGTCGCAAAGATTAACACATCCCTACTTTAATGACCAGGACATGGTCGGAACACGGGCATGGACATTCAAGGAACAGCGTCTCTTCCAGCACGGTGTCCTCTGGCTCATTCTGCTTCAGGGGGAGGGAGGATGCCATCTACTGGTCCACCAACACTATGGGTTTACAGCACCCTGGTTGTGCTTGCAGGTGTCTCAATACTGTCCAGGCCCCACCCTGCTTACCTGCTGGGATCAGGTAACACCGCTGTTAGAGCACTACAAAAATGCATACAGATATGGTGTCAGAAAAAAATGTTGAACACTGTACTGATAGAAGAGCAAATACTTCATGTTTCCAATCACCTTGGTTTTCTGTTATTCATTACAACACGTATATGATTTTGTGTGTCTGTGTTGTGATTGAGAAGCAACATTTATGTCGAGGAAAAAATCATTTTGTTGATTTGAAATGGTCCAGCTTGAAATACTGTATGTTTTTGACATTCCTATCTCCCGAAAACAAATGTACTGATTAGACTTTTCTTACAATAAAAAAACAAGGTAGGATTTTGTCTTTTTTTTTTTGCAGTGACTGTAATTGCTTTACAAAACTTCAACAGTCCATTTGACTCACAAATGGATGTTATTGCATATTAACTACAAAAGGAAATAAAACATGTGTCACAGAAACAGGTAACAGTAGTCATCTAAAACTCTGCTTGTCAAATCTGTGTAATTAACTATCCCATGCGTGGTACAACATATGATACATTTTTAAATAAATCTTTTCATTTTCATTGGAATTCATATTTTAGAACATTGATATTTTTTCTTAAACTCCAAGCTGATCTTGCATGCTCTCTGTCTGCAAGAAAGGATCTTGAGTAATAAAACCATATTTTGTATAAGTTTGAGAAAACTGCTTCTTTCTGTTGGTGGAGATATAATTACAGGTACAAGACCACTATGCCAAAGAACAGATCACTCATGTAACATTGACATTTCAAGACAAAGTCTGACACACTGAATTTCAAAACCGAATATAATATCAAGCCTAACAATTACCCTACAAACACCCAGAGTAAAACATCTGTAACACGCCATACCCTCATTTAAAAACATCAGACTATCTGTTGCAGTCTTTTGTAAGACTTAAACCTGAACCTACAAATGACCTTCCCATGTAAACCTGGAATAAAGATTGAGAATGACCTTTGGGTTGTAAATGTGTAAATATGTGCAAATTGAGAATGTTCATGTGACAAAATCAATATTGTGGCAGTATGATTTAGTGTAGTCATGGTGTAAATATAGTGATGTTAGCCAGGGCTAAACCTGAGATACAGTCAGTGGTGTCGTCTCTTGGCAAAGTGTTTGAATAAGCCAGTCTGAGACAGACAGAGTCTGTCTATATATTGGCTATATATATATATGTGTGTGTGTGTGTGACTAAATGGATGATTCCGGGATGTTGATCTTTTCCAACACACTGTGTTTCTGCCATTTCTACTTCTTTTCCTGTTGTGAGATCTATCAGCCTGAGGCTGTCCTTGTTATGGATTCGGTAAGAGAAACCGAAACCAGTGAGTGAACCCACTTGCAGGAGCTGACAAAGCCTAGCCGTGATCCAAAGAAAGCCGTAGTCGAAGGAACGAGCCGAGAGTCCAGGGGAAGCCAGAGATCCAAAAGGGAACGAGTTACCGAAGCCAAAGCGTGATCCTAAATCGTAGACAATAGAGCAATCCGATAGTCCAGGGGTAGCCAGAGATCCAAAACAGAGCGTGAGTAACGAAGCCAAGCCGTGATCCGAAAAGCCGTAGTCAAAAGGGGAAAAACCGTAAACCGAAAGTCAAGAAGAACACAAGGTAGAAGAAGGAGTAGCGCAACCAGGAAGCTCGAAAGGAAAAACCAATACTGAGCAAGGAGGTAGGGAAAGACAGGTGTTTAAGTAGGATGAGACGGGGGTGTGGTGGTGAATAGGAAAACTGATAGGTAAACTGATGGAGTAGGGCTACGCCTACTTCTGCCTCTTCTGTTGCCGGGAGGCAGGGATCGTAACAGTCCTGGGAAATACTCTCACACAGGTTGGTGTCGATACTGTAATCCTTTACGTTTGTCTTGAGGACATCTCTGAAGCATCCGTGCTGCTTCTGTGTTACAGTGTGACTGCCTGTGTGATTCCATAGTATGAAATAAGTAATGTTGTTTTCTGAAATAAGGAAAATGTAATATTAATGATATTGTTTGTTGTTGGGTGAGTTGATTTCTGTTAAGTCCTTGGTGTACAAGTTTCACTGTATAATGTAACTAAAAAAAGAAAGCAATTCTTCATGGTAAAATTGCAATCTTGTTTATTGCTCCTTATTATCAGTTACAGTTTTGTACCGTTTTGTTTTTGGCAGAATTTTGAATTGGATGTTACTGATAGCTTGAGTGGGATGACTTTAACCCTGTAGCTGATACAAATTATTATACTGCTAACCTTATTATTACACATCCTTGACATAACAATGTCCTTTTAAAAACTACATACACTTACTAAAAAGAAAGGTGAAATTACATTTCAGCTCAATCCTGCAATTGCATGTGATTGGATATACAGTACTGTGTTCAGAATCCATGTTGCCAGGCAGCAGCTCAGTTAGTAAGTGTAAAATAGTAATTGAGTGTGTTTAATATGTGTATTTAAGCTCAACGTTTACATTTCTTCTGATGCTCTTCAGAATTCAGCTTCCATTTTAAAATGTATTTCAGATGTACAGAATCCCTTCAGAATTCAATTTCAATAAACACTAAATGAAAGCTGCTAAATGTAAGCATTCTGTTGCTAAAATAAATTATTTTACTGTATTCGTGAATCTGCACTGCCCCTCATTACTCTATACATCTACTGTATATTATATCATAGGGACAATCTAGGTTTGCAGAGATGATTGGTTTTAAGTCAACTTACTTTAAAATAAGAAAGGAGAACATAGACAGGGAAAGATATAATACCTATAAATTAGTTGGATTTCACATTCAAGTAATATTTTTTCAGATCACTAGAGGAGATGTGATGCATTGCTAGAATTGTGCTATTTTGATTACAGAATAATATCTCGATATCTTAGGTTTTTGTTATGTAAGGGTCTACACAATGCTGTTTATTGTAGTATTATATAATAGAGCTTTGGTCAAGTTTTTGAGCAACAGCTTATTAAATTCTCAGAACTGGTACATTTCTCTTAGAATTATTGTCCATCCATTCATCATTAGAAAGCTGCTTTTTCCTGTAAGGACTGTGTCAGCCTGGAGTCTGCCAGGAAGTTTACAGTAGTGTGAAGAGTGGGAGTGTGTCCTGAGTGGGCTGCCAGCCGATTACCAGACACACACACAAGCAATTTAGAGTTACCAATTAACCTAATCAGCATTTCACTGGTGGGTGAGGATATTGATTAGCATAAATAGGAAAAAAAACTGAAATTGTCTTTTTTTGGTGCTGATTCCAAATTATGTGAACTAATGCACCTGAACAAAAGTAATCATTGTTACTGTGTGTACAGTGTTTCTGAGCCTCTCTGGGCATCGCATTTAGACGTACCCTAATCAAAAAAGTATGAGAGGGAAATAACCAAAACCATTGATCAAAGTTCTTGAATGAAATTCAGTAATGCATGGTTACTATTTTTGATCCCATGACTCAGTTTCGGGATGCATCTGCGGTAGAAAGCGCCACCGAGGCTCAAGAGAGTTTCTGGAAAAACAAAATTCAGATAAGAATACAAATCAACCCATCCTAAGCCTGACTTAGCCCCAAAATCAAGCGCTGAGCTTAGCAATTGTGTAAGTGGAGTGTGAATGCTAACCCTAACCTTACCTGTGGTGTTAAGTGAGCATTTCCGCCATCTATATCTGAGCCTCTCTGGGCATCAGATTTTAACATGCTCCCCAAACCTAAAGGTATGAGGGGGAAACAATCAAGTTGAGTAAATCTCTAAATAATAATTAGAAACAACTTTTGATCAAACTGATTCAGTTTTGGGATACAATTGCCATGCAGTGACCCGCGACATCCAAGACCACTGATAGAAGCACTTGCATTTCAATGAGTTTCAATCATGCTTGGTTACTCGTGTGATCCGATTGACTCAGTTTTGGGCTACAATTGCCGCGTGCTGCACCGCGACATCCAGTTTCGGAAAAAAAGAATTTTCAGCAAGGATCAGGAAACCACTTGTCGTAAACCAGACTTGGGCACCAAAATCCACCCTGA